GTGTGTACCATGGGAGAGGGAGTGAGCGAGCGAGCCCAGGCTGAAGCAGGGGTCCTCCCCCCCACTGACACCAACGATGGGGCACTATTCCTCCCCCCACTGACACCAACGATGGGGCACTATTCCTCCCCCCACTGACACCAACGATGGGGCACTATTCCTCCCCCCACTGACACCAACAATGGGGCACTATTCCTCCCCCCACTGACACCAACAATGGGGCACTATTCCTCCCCCCACTGACACCAACGATGGGGCACTATTCCTCCCCCCTCGGCTTATACTCGAGTCAATAGTTTTTCCCAGTTTTTTGTGGTAAAATTAGGTACCTCGGCTTATATTCGGGTCGGCTTATACTCGAGTATATACGGTAATTGGTTCCTATCTAAATTGGCCCTAGTATGTGTATACATAAATGTAAGTTAGGGACCTTAGATTGTACACCCCTTGAGGGTTAGGGATTGATGTAAATGTGCAATATACAGATGAAACTCAAAAAATTAGAATATCGTGCAAAAGTTCATTTATTTCAGTAATGCAACTTAAAAGGTAAAACTAATATATGAGATAGACTCATTACATGCAAAGCAAGATAGTTCAAGCCGTGATTTGTCATAATTGTGATGATTATGGCTTACAGCTCATGAAAACCCCAAATCCACAATCTCAGAAAATTAGAATATTGTGAAAAGGTGCAATATTCTAGGCTCAAAGTGTCCCACTCTAATCAGCTAATTAAGCCATAACACCTGCAAAGGGTTCCTGAGCCTTTAAATGGTCTCTCAGTCTGGTTCAGTAGGAATCACAATCATGGGAAAGACTGCTGACCTGACAGTTGTGCAGAAAACCATATTCTAATTTTTCGAGTTTCACCTGTATATGTAAAGCAATGCGTAAATTGACAGCGCTATATAAGTACCTGAAATAAAATAAATAAATAAAAACAGCCGCTGTAAAAACATCCAGGACTAAATTTAAACTTCTACTTTTGTTGATGGCATACACAGTACAACACTCTCCTGCCACTCTGAATACATTACTGTGTTTTGTATTTGTCCAAAGTTCCACTTTAAAACAATGCCAGAGAGCCTAATTTGTAAATGATGGAGGGACAGGAAGATGTTTTCCATAGTAGCCTGTTCACCACCTTTTATTTTCTAAAACACCTAAAAAGCATGGGATTACCTCTGATTAGTTGGTTTAGGTCCAGAAATGAGAACTAAAACTCAGAAAACACAATGTGCAAGGAGTCCCCTGCTGCTGATAGCACCCTACCCAATGGAGGTCCTGCTGATGCACATATTGTACCAAAGGGAACTGATAAATATGAAATCACTGTATGTGCAGGTCTCTTCTGTACCTTTAAGGAAGAAAGTTCAGCATTGCTAGCTGTGTAGTATTTGAAAATATTTCCCTTTTTCACCTGGTGCCACTAAGTATAAACCAAAAAGGGAATTACGGAATATCTCTCGGATGGGAACACCATCAGTACTAAAACACCTCACCAAGGTTTGAATCAGTAATATATATTTACTTGAAAGAAAACTAATTTTTAGAGATATGGAGGCTGCCATTACTGAACTTGAAATGCTAGTTCCCTGGCAGTCATGCAGAATCTCGGTCTTCAGTACTGTCCTGGAACAAGTCTACAGATCTTGGGTTCTAGCTTTATTTGCTGCCTTTGTGTTCCAGGACAGGGACGTTGAAGTGCTGACGCCAGACAGGTAACTTCCAGGTCAGCAACAGCAGCCAACATTTTATCTTAGTTCAGGTTTCCTACAAGGCTATAAATTCATATCACATCTGTTGCCTGTTTATATTGCCAATTAGTGGCGTAACCCTGAGGTCCACTGTGGTCTTGTTTTGCTGTACACATGTGCTTTCTAAGCAACATCTTTATTCCTATAATTAGGACAAATCCTGTAAAAGTCAACAGGATGAATGTTTTCCAGAACACCAGCACAAGCTCCAAGATACTGCCAGGAGAGAAAACATACTGTGCTCTATGGGAAAGCAGTCATTTGTCTCAAGTGGTTCAACAACGCATCCTGCAGCACTGTAGTGGTGATTCATTAGGGGGTATTATCAGACAGCTGCTCTCACAGTGTACCAATATTATCCCGTTACCGTATTTTTCGCCGTATAAGATGCACCTGACCATAAGACGCACCTAGGTTTTAGAGGCAGAAAACAGGAAAAAAAAAATTCTGAACTAATGGACTGCAGACACAGTACAGGAGATGACCAGAGACTGCGGACAGCAAAGGGATGACCAGAGACTGCGGACAGCACAGGGATGACCAGAGACTGCGGACAGCACAGGGATGACCAGAGACTGCGGACAGCACAGGGATGACCAGAGACTGCGGACAGCACAGGGATGACCAGAGACTGCGACAGTACAGATGACTGCTGACCTTTGGGAGGTGGGGGGAGCGGGTACCTGAATTTGACAGGTACCCGCTCTTACTTCCGCAGAGTTTTTGTTTGATCTTACCTGTTCCTCGATCCAGCCGCGCGCTGTCTTCCCGGCTTCTGTAATGGCGCTCGGCATGACAGCCGGGTGCCCAGTGCGCATGAGCGAGAAGCACTTGCGCTTTGTGATTGGTCCGGCGGCTTCTGGGATCTGTCATGTGTCCCAGGTACCGCCTTACCATTCACAAAAAGCACCGCTTCTTGCGCATGCGCACTTGGCACCCGGCTGTCATGCCCAGTGCCCACACTACAGAAGCTGGGAAGACAGCACGCCGCTGGATAGAGGAACAGGTAAGGTCCCGCTGCAGAGCTGAGCGGCCGGCCCGGTATTCTGACACGGCCGCGGTGGAAATACCGGACCGGCCGCTCCATATTCGCTCCATAAGACGCACTGACATTTCCCCCCCCAGTTTTGGGGAAGAAAAAGTGCGTCTTATACGGCGAAAAATACAGTATGCTGCTTCTCCTTTCACTGTTCAGTCACAGGCTCAGGGAGGGGCGAAAGCTGTAAGTGCAACTTAACTGCAGCAGAGAAAAGTAGGTATCCTTCTCTGCCGGACAGTGCTGTGCCATGTGACAGTGCTGTATAAACCTCAGGACTGGATGGAAAGGGATATATATCCTTTAGCAGGTAAAACAGCTCAGAGAGCTTGTAAATATGCCGGGAGTTTAGCTTTAAAATTGTATGTATTTTAAAGGACAACTGTCCCACCCCGATTGCAGCCCACCTTGTTAAATACTCACCTTCACTGTGCGGCCCCTTCAAAATCTCACAGCCTTTTTTTGCAAAAAAAACACTCCTGTCAGGTCTTTTCTGCTGTGGTCTCATTCACTGTTTTTGAGAGTATCATACGTATTTTGAGGCCATCATAAGAACAGCTCCACCATAAAGAGAATGAACAGAGCTGTGGTGAACATGTGCAAAAAGAAGTGGATCTGGCAGGGACATTTGCAGCAGAAAAGCTATGAGGTGTGACACACTGAATATGGCTGGAATGGAGAGGAAGCAAGTGTTTACCCAGGTGGATGAGACATTGTTAAAGGACAACTGTACCAAAGATTGTGCCAAGTGTACATGAGCCTTGAGATTTAAAACTTATAGGTGTAATAAAAGACACATTCATTTGGAGTTCAATGAAATCAGATGCTCTTACATAAAAGTTTTATTTTTCGGTCGCAGTTATGATTTTGTTAAAAGCGAGTGTACAGGCAAGAAATGTCATGTAACATCCGTACTGTATGGTGGTGAGAATACTGGTTCTTGTCCTGTTGTCTCATGTTGTTGGAATTGTATTAAAAAAAAAAAAAAAAAAGAAAACAATTCCTTTTTAGACTTTGTATAAGAGATTCTGAAGATCCCCGTGTGCTTAATGAAGCTAGTATATTATATATGGTTTTTGCTGTAGACCAGATTAGATGCAGAGCTCTTGGCAGTTAACGGGGGTCTTAACCCCACTAAATTTATTCCTATGCAGATTGCACATTTTCCCCCATATCTTACTTGCAAATAGAATAACATTAAAGGAAAACAAACATGTTTACGTTGATGTATAAATTTATCCATACCTTCCAGCATTCCAAAATCTCAAGACAGGAAACATTTAAAGGGGAGCTCCAGTTATGACAAAACTACCAGTAAAGGTAGATAATATTAGAATACTTTTTCTTCATTTTAATACCTTCAGCTGTTTTCTGATGAAGGGTATAACCAGATTCTTCATGTACCACAATTAAATTGCTCCAAGTGGGTGTGCCCTATAGTGGATCAGATTACAAAGTCTGCAGTGTCTAGTGTGATCCAAGTAGGATTTTTCTCTATGTCAAAATAGAAGTAGAAAACTATTTAATCACTAATTTTCCTTTTGCATGGAGCTCACCTTCAAAACCCAAACCCTGATCTGCTCAATCCAATTTCATATGCAACGCCAATATTAAAAAAACAAAATCCTTTCTAAGGACTGAAATTTGGGACAGTTATGAAAAGAAATGGGGCAGCTGGAAGATATGGTTGCAGCCCTGTGGAACTATATATGGAATGTACAAAAAAACAAAACAAAAAAACAGCTAATTACAGCCTACTGTTAGTGCATTGTGGTTAAACACGATTTGGTTATGATGAGGAACGCTTCTAGTGCATTTTACAGTCCTCTCTGTGCACCGTCCGCTGTCAATACTGATCCAGTCAGGGCGCTGTGCTTACCATCACCGGTACGCTAACCTGAGTGTTTCCCCTTTATTTACACAAAATCAGAAGTGTAGAGAAAAAAAATTACTGAGTTCACATCATTTCTCCATTGTCCCTATTTCCAAAGCTAGGGACAAGCATGTCAGATCTCACTCCTTCACTCCACTCCTCCAGTGAACAGTCATTTTCAGTACAGTAATGTACACTTGTCAAAATGGATATTGTAAAAAAAAAAAAAATTATGCAAAAAGGAGTGTTATGAAATAGAACCCCAAGAAAATTAAATTAACTATTTTATTATATCCTGTCAACACATAGAACAAGGGTGGTGGAGGTGCTGTTAGCTTTCCAAGGCATCAAGAACTTTGATGATCTGTTGTTTGATGGCTTTGGTAGCGTCTCCTGCATTGGGTATTAAGTATCTAAAAAGAACATATTGCATAGATTAATAAACTACCTGGTATGCAAAATAACAAACCAACATAAACTATACTAAAACTGTAACATTTCTTATAGCTTTTAAATAACATTTTTAGATTTCTGAACATATGCAGACCTTATACTGTAAATCATGTGACCACACTCACTCCCTTCTGTTTCATCTTTTCTGGTATAAAACAGCTTGTCGCTAACTGTGCATGCGAACTCCTTGGCAGATACTGAAGCACTAAGAGATTTTTAATGTTGCTAACAAGGTAGACACACATCATGTAAGAAATGACAGGAGGTCATTTGTGAATGAACAAAAACCTAAAATAAACAGCTTTATGTATTACAGTGTTAGGGCTTTAATGCACAAGGTTATGACTGACACACACACAAACACATAACAGACGAGCCTATGTAGAGAACCATCACTTTTTCATTATACAGAAAATATATTAATATAGAAAGCTCTCACCTCTCCACTGCTAATATTTCCACTCCCGTTGAACTGCTATTTCCATATTTAAATGTGATCAGCTCTGGATGTTTCTTCTTAGATGTGATCTTTACAACTGAGCTCAGTGCTTGACGTGACTGTATATATGCAAATCCCTTCCTAGACTGGATCTCCCGCAAACAATACATATGGGTTGCTGTTACCAGAAGGTGACTTTTAAAAAGGGGAAAAAAAGAAAAATAATGAAACTCTGTCTATAATCCGGATTGCTGTTTAAGTTAAAACTACACTTTAGGTTTATTGTACCTTTAAAAGGAGGTGGAGAGGCAGGCGTATGACATCATGATCTCCACCTCAGCCAATCAGAAGAAGCCTTGTATTCATTGATAGAATACAAAGCTGCCTGCGAATGGCTGAGCAGTGCTCAACTGACTCTATTTTGTTCCTGGAGCAGGACAGGAAGCCCCATCCCGCTGTCGGAACACAGCTCTACGTACAGTTTATACAGCATTCACAATAAGCGCATCTGTTAGTGAAGCAAACTGTTGTACCAAACGAACTAGTTCAAGTCACTAGAAACCTGGCGTTAGGCTCTAAAGCATATATAAACAGATCTGTTTGATCAGCTACTTCCCTGGTTGTACTGGCCAGAGAAACACAACATTAAAACCAGAAGTGGAACAGGAGAGCTCAGGAAAGGCAGTGAGCAGTCCTTTTCAGAGCCCTGTAAAAGTGATTGAGCAGGTGTAAAGCTGCTTACATCACTTTTACATGAAAGCCAATCACCAGCTGTAAAAAACAATGCCAGGACCTTGGTATAACTGTTTCCTGTCCAGAATGTACATATACATATGATGGACGGGAAGAGGTTAAGGAATAGCAAACTCAGATATGTTACATTTTTTTACTTGGTTTAGTTATGCTATGAGAGGAGGAGAAAAGAGAAAACATTCTATCTAGACATGTCTGCAAAGGGCAATGAAACAACCTGGGTCATAAGGATATCAGATTCCAGCTAAATCACCTTCATCTACTGCACTTTATCGGAGTGGTAACAGCATATCACACTGATATGAATGGGCACAATAATATAACATGGAAATCTGGTGTCGAGCATTGAAGTGCTTCTGGAAACACGCTTCAAATAACCTAGATGCTAGGTGTAGCAGACAATCATAGTAAAAAAAAGTATTTATTACTTATGATATTCAGCTCTATCTAGTCTGAAGAGATATCCATCCCTGCTGACGGCGGTTGATATGAAGCCTGAATAGCTAGTTTTCAGTTTAAAGGCACATGCTATCTGACCTTTGTGATGAGGGTCTGGTATTAAAGGTGACAGCGCACTCAGGAGGGAAGGTGAAAGGTCCGCATGGTGAGCACCTCCTAAAGTGGATCTTCGGTCATTTAAATAAAAGTCAGCAACTATAAAACTAGGAAAGAGCTCAGACTTATAAATGAAAAACCAGCACAAATAATTGCTCAGTTTTGCTGTGGTGCATATATGCAAAGAAAAATGCTGACAGAGGACAGCCAAGTGATGACCAGCTCATCAGTATGTTGCTTCTCCTTCATTGTCCAACCAGAGGAATTGGGCACAGACAAGACCTATCTACACTATATTGCCAAAAGTATTGGGATGTGGCCATGGAGGTGATTTGAACACTTGAATCCAATAATTTAGAGGGGTGTCCCAATATTTTTGGCAATATAGTGTACAGGTGCAATAAATTAGAATATCATCAAAAAGTTAATTTATTTTAGTAATTCAATTCAAAAAGCGAAACTCATATATTATATAAATTCATTACACACAAATTGATATATTTCAAGCATTTATTTCTTTTCATTTTGATGGTTATGGCTTACAGCAAGTGAAAACCCTAAATTCAGTACCTAAGAAAATTATATTATTACACAAGACCAATAAAAATAAAGGATTTTTAAAACAGAAATGTTGGCTTACTGAAAAGTATGTTCATGTACAATATAGTATGCACTCAATATTTGGTCAGGGCTACTTTTGCATACATTACTGCATCAATGTGGCATAGCATGGAGGTGATCAGCCTGTGGCACTGCTAAGGTGTTAAGAAAGCCTAGGTTGCTTTGATAGCAGCCTTCAGCTCGTCTCAATTGTTGGGTCTGGTGCCTCCCACCTTCCTCTTGACAATACCCCAAAGACTATCTATGAGCTTTGTCAGGCGAGTTTGCTGACCAATCAAGCACAGCGATACCATGATCAATAAAGCAGGTATTGGTACTTTTGGCAGTGTGGGCAGGTGTCAAGCCCTGCTGGAAAATGAAATCAGCATCTCCATAAAGCTGGTTAGCAGAGGGAAGCATGAAGTGCTCTAGAATTTCCTGGTAGAGGGCTGTGCTGACTTTGGACTTGATAAAACATAATGGACCAATACCAGCAGATGACATGGCTCCCCAAATCATCACTGACTGTGGAAACTTCACACTGGACCTCAATCAACTTGCTTTCAGTGCCTCTCCACTCTTCCTCCAGGCTCTGGGACCTTGATTTCCAAATGAAATGCAAAATTTATTTTCATCTGAAAAGAGGACTTTGGACCACTGAGCAAAAGTCCATTCCTGTTTCTCCTTAGCCCAGGTAAGACGCCTAACGTTGTCTCTGGTTCAGGAGTGACTTGACACAAGGAATGCGACAGTTGTAGCCCAGGTCCTGGATACGTCTGTGTGTGGTGGCTCTTGAAGCACTGACACCAGTTGTAGTCCACTCCTTGTGAATCTTCACAAATTTTTGAATGGCCTCTGCTTCACAATCCTCTCAAGGCTGTGGTTATCCCTGATGCTTGTGCACCTTTTTTCCACCACACTTTTTCCTTCCATGCAACTTTCCATTAATATGCTTGGATACAGCAATCTGTGAACAGCCAGCTTCTTTAGCAATGACCTCTGGTGACTTACTCTCCTTGTGGAGGGTGTCAATGACTGTCTTCTGGACAACTGTCATGTCAGCAGTCTTCCCCATGACTCTGTAACCTACTGAACCAGACTGAGAGACCATTTAAAGGCTTAGGAAACCTTTACAGGTGTTTTGAGGTAATTAGCTGATTAGGGTGTGACATATTGTAGACATGAGTCTACAATATTGAACTTTTTCACAATATTCTAATTTTCTGAGAAACTGAATTCTGTTTTCTCACTAGCTGTAAGCCATAATCATCATAATCCCTCTATCCCCACTGTCTGTAATGAATCTATATAATATATGAGTCACTTTTTGAATTAAATCACTAAAATAAATTAGCTTTTTGATGATATTCTAATTTATTGAGATGCACCTGTATATTACTTACCTTCAGGACAGAAAATCAGGACTCTAGGCTGGCTGTGCTGTCTCGCAGGAATATGTAAATCTTGATTGGATGGACAGAAATACAAATCTTTTGGAAGGTAAACAGAACCCATGTATATATTTCATCTCCATACATTTTTTTATACCAGTTTGCCTGGAGTTTAGCTTTAATGGCAAAACTATGTTGGGGCAACACAAGTCTATTGTTACAGACCTTGGAAACATGTGACCGGTTTCTTTAACTTCATGACATGGGAAGTGATGTTTGATATCAGGTTTGTTTATCCATGTTTGAATGTTAACAACCTCTTTGCGATCATCATCAGACATAGATGAGCTATCAATCTCATCTGGAAGAAGACAAAGAAAAACAAGAGAGATAAAGAATACACACATCGTTTAACAGAAACAAATCTAAAAACAACTCCTGCACAAGCATGACAACGACCCAAAGCATACATCCAAATCGACAATGGAATGGCTTCACCAGAAGAAGATTAAAGCTTTGGAATGGCCCAGCCAGAGCAAAGACCTGAATCTGATCAAAAATCTGTGGGGTGATCTGAAGAGGGATGTGCATAGGAGATGTCCTCGCAATCTGACAGATTTGGAGAGTGTTTTTGCAAGGAAGAGTGGGTAAATATTGCCAAGCCAAGATGTGCCATGCTGATAGACTCATACTCAAAAAGACTGAGTGCTGGAATAAAATCAAAAGGTGCTTTAACAAAGTATTAGTTTAAGGGTGTGCACACTTATGCAACCATATTATTTTAGTTTTTTATTTTTACTTCCCTCCACCTAAAAGATTTCAGTTTGTTGTTCAACTGAGTTGTGCAGTTTATAGGTTACATTAAAGGTGGAAAAAGTTCGGAAATGGTTTATCTTTGTCTCATTTTTAACACCACAGAAGCCTGACATTTTAACAGGAGTGTGTAGACTTTTTATATCCACTGTATATTATGGAGATAAAGAGGTTTTTTTCTGTAATCATATTACAACGCTGTAGGGTGACAAAGCTGCTACTTTAATCTAAATGACAGTGAGAACTGTCACACAAGGACAGGCAGTGTGGTACTGGCAGGATCACAAGATGAAAATCCTGAAAGGAAAACTAATGCAACCACCACACCTAAGGACTGGTAAGCTTCAATCTAATATGGTTTTATTGTTCATAAGTTTAGATACACTTTAAGGCCTATCCCTGTGTATGTTTACCCTGGTTGCTACCCTCACATAATCCAAACTGAATGTACAATTTCCTCTAGATTTATCAACAAATGTGTAGTGTGAGGACCTACCTAAACAATACATTTAAAGGGTAACTCCACTTTCATGGAAAATAAACAACAAATAGAAAAATTAATTTAGCATATACTATTGCTACTCAAGCCATATTGTAATTGAATGTTATTAAAAATTACCTTATGTTTTTAGTCTGCAGCACTATAATTTTCTGTAAAATAAATTGGAATATGGCAACCTAGAGGTCGTCTGTATACAGATGGTACACAGAAAGCCCCCAAGGACACCCCCAGGAAATTTAATTTTCTGCTTGTGTGATTGGCTTACTGATTTTAGCAGAAATTTGCGCTAAGATACAAGTCAGATTTTAGGCATGCCCTGCAACGAAAATGTCATTCTTGTGAGATATGCCCTAAGGAAAATCACGTCCAAAGGGATGTACTAATTAGAGCCCTGCAAGTGCATCAGCTGATTGATCATTATAAACTCAATCCTGTTACATTCACTTTCCACATGGACACAGAGAAGCAAACAGCTATTTCTTCAGAATTACAGAGAAAGCAAAACACATAAAATAATCTAAAACAGGTTCTAACCCCTCACTATTTTACTAAAGAAAAAAAATGTTTAGCTTGAGTCTGTATCCCATTGGGGAGATTTTCCATCACCTTCTATCCCAACATGAAAAAAGACCTGACAGAAATTCTCTTTTGAACTCAAAGCTAAAAACGTTGGCTAATGCTAAGGTTAAAGAGGTTCTAAAGGCTGAAGGTTTTTATTACCTTAATGCATTCTCTGCATTAGGGTAAAAAACCTTCAGTGTGCACCCCTCCCATACCTACCCGAGTCTGATCTCAATCCAGTAATTACCCAGAGGGAATTGATTTTTTTTTTTTTCTTAACAAAAGTGGAGTTACTCTTATGTTTCCGTAAACTGTTCAAGCTTACCTCTAAAATGGTTTACATTTGTCCCCTTATGTAGAATAATTTATCTTGCTTGTGCCTGTACTTTATTGGTGTATCAAGGTCAGAGGTCACTTTATTATAACAACAGTTGATGCCCTGTCTACTACAGAATCTCAAACAACTGTCTCCATGTTCATACGTGTGTATACAGTGTCAAATAATGAAGCACTGTACAGTAAAAGACTTTATTTGACACTACTATGCACTTTCACGGATCGGGCAGCAGTGTGTGAAACCAGGAAGTTGCAAAATTGTGAAACCTCCAATGACCTCTAACATCAGCGTTAGTGAAGTGATTAATGAGCACAGGCTTTTCTAAACAATCAAACTACAAGAAATTAGCCTTTATTTCAAACACATAGCCAAGACGTTTCACAGGTCTGATTCATGTTTTGTTACAAAATATCTGAAATCAAATATGAAGCTGTTAATAGACATCTTTTCTGAATCACATACAATTATGTTATACCTGTGTCATACTCTTCCTCATCTCCGATGCTGAATACAGGCTTTACACCTCGGTACGGCTTTCCTACTCTGTCACTGCTGCTGATGTGTCTATCAATAAAAAGCAATATGATCTTAGAAAATATGTATGCGTAAAATGAATACAGAAAATACAAGCAGCTGATACATGCAGAAAGTGCCAATCTCTGTTAAGGCTAGAAGTTAGCTAGCCAATAAAAATAAAAAAGACACATAACTGAGAGAAAAGACCATGCTAACACGCCAGAAACAAGTCAGCTTGGTGAGTGAAATGTCATTATTTTCTTTACATTCTGTAACATCACACACCATTTGTATTTTTCTGCACTGGAATCCCAAAAGCATGCTGTTTAAACACTGCACAATGTACCATGGTTGAAAAAAAATGGCAAGTAAAGATTTCATGTGCATAAAAATATAAATGTAGGAGCAAACCCTTTAAATGAAAGTGCTTAAAACCTATACGACCTGAAACCAATAAATTAGGTGAGTATACAACTAATCACAATAAGAACCAAAACAAAACACACAAGTTTAGCATATGCTTATAATCAGTATAAAGGTCAAAATATTTGTGGTAATTCCCAATCATCGTATTCTTGTAAATATAGCAAGGTGACACAAAATCTTCAAAACGAAAGTGTTCCACCACATGTAGATGGATTTCACACTCACCAGATCCCTATGGCCAACAGAGCAGCCTACAAGCGTTAGTTGACACAATCGAGTATGTGGAATGGCTGGATCCAATCCAACCATAGATGTTATTATGCAGTTGGGTGGATTGGATCTAGCCATCCCATATCCTGGACTGTGACACCTAATGCTTGTAGGCTGTTTGGCTATAGGAATCTGGTGAGTGTCAAAGTCATCTACACATGGTGGAGCACTTTGGTTTTGAAGATTTTATTTACAAGAATACAGTGAAGAGGAATTACCACAAATATTTTGGACTTTATATATTGATTAAATGCATATGCTAAACTTATGTGTTTTGTTTTGGATCAGTTTTTCACTCACCTTAAATTTACTGGTTTCAGGTCATATATGTTTTAAATACTTTAATTTAAAGGGCTAGTGTCTACTTTTATACTTTTATGCACATAGTTAAAGTGTTTGATACACTTAAAGGGGGGCAACTGCCTTTAGCTGTTTATTCACTTTGTGGGGTGGCACCCTCTCAAATTTTTTTCTTCATTTAAGTAAACATTTCAACCTCACTTCTTGTTCTTGTGACCACAGGACAAGAAATGGAGGGAATGGTTCTCACAGAGAAAGGAAAGCACATAAAATAACCTAAAACAGGTTCTAACCCCTCACTATTTTATAGAATTAAAAAAAAAAAAGATGTTTAATGGACTCTGTATTCCATTGGGGAGATTTTCCATTACTTTCTCTCCCAACATGAAGGAGGGAAAATCTTGCAAATGGATACACAAACATTAAAAGACCTGACAGAAATTCTCTTTCTAACTCAAAGATGAAAAAGTTGGCTGAAACTTAAAATGGTTCTAAAAGCTGCATGTTTTTTACCTTTATGAATTCTCTGCATCAAGATAAAAAAACCTTTAGTGTGTAGCTAACCCCCCCTATACTTACCCGGGTCCGACCTCAATCCAGTGATGTGCACGAGAGCAGAGTATCTCTCAGCTCTCCCCATTCTCATTGGCTTAGACACAGCAGCAGGAGCCATTGGCTCAGTGGAGGAGCCAGCGGTAAACCCAAGAACCCCTCTCTGGGCCAACTGATAACCTCCCATGACTTCCAATCTCTACGCTGACACCCAGATCTATCCCTCCACTCCCCAGCTCACCCCCTCAGTCTCCTCACGTATCACAAATCTACTAAGCGACATATCAGTATAGATGTCACACCATTCCCTTAAACTCAATCTTTCCAAAACCAAACTTGTAATATTTCCTCCTCCCCCATCCCACCTTGATTGCTGCAACTCCCTCCTCACTGCCCTACCGTTACACAGGTTGTCCCCCCTTCAGTCTATTATGAATGCTGCTGCTAGGTTCATACACCTTACCAACCGCTCAATGACTTCTGCCCCTCTCTGCTAATCCCTTCACTGGCTCCCACTAACTCAATGTATAAAATTCAAAATACTAACCACAGCATACAAAGCCATCCACAAAATTGCCCCTAGCTACATCGCCAACCTCATCCGCAGATATTGTCCAAATCGCCCACTCCGCTCCTCCCAAGACATTTTGCTCTCCAGCTCCCTCATCACCTCCTCCCACGCTCACCTCCAGGACTTCTCCAGAGCCTCTTCCATGCTTAGAAATTACTACCCCAGTATATCCAGTCAGTCCTCACTCTGTCTGCCTTTAGGCGATCTTTGAAAACTCACTTATTTAGGGAAGCCTACCCCACCTCCACCTAAGAACTGTACTTGAATCACCTCCATCAGATCATCCCCCACAGCTATCACCTTTTGTACATATATATTGTAATTGTAACGCTAGGCAAAACTGCCTTTGTGTCCTAGGTTGTTCTAAAACTATCAGTGTGCAAGATGGTAATTATATGAACGACAACTGGAGGTGTGCAGTACCAATTTAAAAATAGACCATACACTAGACAATCTGATTGTACAGATATTGTACATTCTCCTTTAGCCTGGGTTCACACTGATGTGGTGCAGAACTCACATTGGTTTCTGTGCGAATTCCGCGCCGCATCATAAATCGCACCCCGTTCATACGATCCACTGCGGGTGTGTGCTTTAAGTTAACGACACCCTGAAATCAGTTCGCAAAACACGGTGTGATGTGCAGGATCGGATCATATGGGTGTGAGCACCTATGTCATCCAATTCTGGTCCGGACTACAAAAGGGTCCTGCACCTTTTTGGTGTGGATGCTGTGAGATTTGAGCCATACAAAATGTGTGGCTCAAATTGCACCGCATAGAAATCGAATGTTATTTGCACAGGAATACGGTGCGGTTCCTGTGAGAATCAAATGCGATGTGCCGCACCACATCAGTGTGAACCCAGGCTCACTTTCACCGAAATTACGTAACATGAGAACAAACCTAAACAATTAGGTAAATTTGGATTAAACTAGGCAGGACCTTGCGCTAAATAGTTGACATTAGATCTAAAGGAGATTGTATAGTATATGGATAGCATAAATCTGAAGTTAGATGATCTGTATATAGTGAGTTCTACAGACCCCATGGTTTAAGCAGGTCTTATTTGCTGTGCTCCTCAAATCATCTAAAAAAGTTTAAAAACTATGAAATTGTTATCAGGAATAATGCTTAAAAACATTCATTTCTAAACCTTACATTTCAAAACATATTCATTATCATTCAGGATAAAGGATTCCAATGTAGTGGAAAAAATTGGTCACCTTAGAACCTAAGGTCACTGAAGCAAACACATTAAAGGCTGGCATATCTGGCCGGTGACGGTTTTCTCGCATGTAGCGGTATTAAAATGGACACTTATGTAAATTACTGCTGGAGAGTAAAAAATGTTATGGACAGAAAGCCGATTAATTCTAGATGAAGTAGAGCATTAGTCTCAGTGCTTGGACAGAAGTGGTGAGTGCATCCCTCTAGCTTTCAGGATGAAGAATGATACATCAGTGATGCTGACAGGCCACAAGAAAGATAAAATCTGACATTTTATTAAGGCAAACATAAAATGTATGAAATTCTGTGCATTTGTTTTTATGAAATGAAATTTTATCAACTGAAAAGGGAGGAGAGGGGGGAATATCTTTTACAGCTAGGATTAGTAACAGGCAGCACGCAAAGGACCCATTCACAACTTTCCAGTGCAGTATGTCATCCCTATGTAATAAGGCAAAACAGCTCTAATGCACATGTGTTATAGCACCCCACAATGCACAGTAATGCACAACATGCATTGTGGTGATCTGCATTGCCAAAATTGTATACTTTTATAGTTTATGGTGCGTTTCCAGCCTATTCAGTTAAATGGGATGCCTTTAAGTAACGCATGTTAATGCATGATTAAACCTGTGTTACAATGCAATGCACCAGGGCACCAAGGTGTGAATGGACCCTTAAGCAGTGTGGTACGATTAATAATGTGAAAGTCAGTAGTTCCTGGCAAGTGTCAGCATAACTGATGTCTATACACAGTAAACACGTTGTGCATACGGAGAAGGTGGTGGAATCACAGCTCACTACATCTTACCGCTCCAAACTCGCCCTCTCTGGCCAAGGAAGATTGAAAGTGATTCTAGTGCACCATTGAGGCAAGGATACAAACCAAAAGAGATTACATCACTGAGAGTTATGGGACATTTCAATAAGATTACACACTAGATGAGAACAGTAAAGACCTAATTTATTAGAGATTAGTAAAAGGAACCCGTCACATTGGGTGTTACCTGGCCCAGCAGTCTCTCTCGTCCATTTGTGGATTATATAATTGCGGAATTCTGAGATTTTGTTCTAGAGCAGAGCACGCGCAGTGATATGTCAGCCCTAGAACAACTTCAATTCTGCGCCAAGCCTCTAATGCCAACAGAATGCCACGGCAGAGCCAAGTAACATTGTTCCTGACAGGCTCATTATTAAGTCAAGAAAAGGTTAGGTTTTACCAAGACTAAAAAATGCGTGAAGATTTATTTATTTTGTGTGCAAACACAAAAACATACATCATACACACAAACAATTGTAGGCCTACACTCCTATGTTTTGACATATTTGGAAGCCTATCAATCATTTCCTTGATCCCATGTCCTGGTCCAATGAAAAGACCACTGTCACCTGGTAAAAATTCCACTACCAAACACAGAGACATTAGTAAAAAATCGGCTTGTATTTCACAGCACATTTATGTTACTGATAAATTCATCAAGCTCATGCTCTGTGCAAGCTATTTGTTCTTCTGAGCCAAATCGACTGATAAATGTAGACCAAGTTTGGACTATGAGCTGGCCAAAGGGCACCTAGTGAGGTGGAATTCAAGGCGGGTTTTAAAACAAACATTCTAACCGCCACCCACCCTGACATCAGCAAATATGATGTAAAAGATGCACTTTATTAAAAAAAAGTGCCAATAACTTGCAGAGGCAGTGATACTGCAACTTAAACTCACAATCAAAGGAATTAAACTCACCTTTCTACTGGAGTGGAGGTGTTCTCAATAAAGCTGATCACTTTTTCCTTCACATTCACAGATTTTGTCTTTAGTGCTACTGTCATTTTATTCACCAAAGATTTCACACCTCTCCCATCAGCTACACCATTAGGAGAATCCTCCTACAAAGCAAACAAAGTCATAAAGTAACCAGCTAATAGTTCTTTTTTTTAGAAAGGAAAACATCTTTTCATATTCAAAACTTTATCACATAAATTAAGGCTGAACAGTATGACATTAAATAGGTACCCAGGGGATTACATTTTATCTCACTAACAAAACAGTATAACCATACAGAAGGAACTATATGAAATCAATCACGGCAATGAAATTAATGCAAAACACAGTAGAACATTTTAAAACAGAAGAGATTTACAAGTATCGTCATTCCACCACATATCCCAAAAATAGGAGGAATATTCCTCATTGCAGGACTGTGCACAGCCATGCAAATCATTCCTTTATGCCGAAAACAGCCAAATGTGCATCCAGAACTGCTGATGTATAATATTGTAAAGCCATCTATTCCAAACCTCATACAGTGTGTTCAGCCATTTTGTATGCAGTGCAAATAAATGGTTTCCAAAAATAGTGTCACACAGATCAAAAATTCATAAAGAGTGCATAAACCATATTATAGTCCAATGAAAAATTGAAACTCAAACTCAGATAGCCCACCGTAAATGCAAACTCTTCACACTAAATGTGCACCAGCCACCTTATGCAAATAAAGCAGCTTAGCAAATGTATAGACCCATATCTCAAGAGGTCTACAAGCGCTTTAGGATAATGGATCCCGCCTGGATAGATGAATGCCTCCAGCTTCCTCTCTCACAGTTGGCTGTGCCTCAAGCCAGTCACACTGAAAAATGGCATGCCCACACAGCCAATGGATTGCTTCACATAAACTTGCCTCAGCGACATTAACACATAGCCAGAAACAAGCAAGGAAATCCCATACTGAAGTATAGTTAAAACCGATTTATTAATAAACTTGATGGATACTCAAAAGCAAAGCAATATCAAAAAGCATATTAAACAACAGCAGCCGGCTCTCTGGACGGACATGATGACGTCTCCGCTAAACTCTGCTGTGGCTGTGTGAGGCATGCCGTTTTGAAGTGACAGGCTTGAGGTACATCCAACTGTGAGAAAGGGAGCTGAAATGATATATCCATTTGGGCTGAATATATCATCCTAAAGTGCTGTTAGGCCTCTTGAGATGCGGGATCTAAATTTTTGGTAAGATGCTTTATTTGCATAAGGTGGCTGGTGAACATTTAGTGTGGAGAGTTTGCATTCATGGTGGACTGAGCACGAGTTTGAATTTTTCATTGGACTATAAAATGATTTATGCACTCTTTATGAATTATGTGATAGCGCTATACCATTTTTGGAAACAATTGATGTTGGATATTTGATGTGTGAATATCAGTGAGTGCTGCAGTCACAACTTAGATATATATATATTTTTTTTTTCTTTATATGTCATTGCACTTATATTTGCTATTGCACTGATCTGATTATTTTTTAGCGCCGACTAAGTGTATTTTAGAATTTGGAATAAATGCCTGAACAAGCGGTTTGCAGTTTGGACTAAATGGCTCTATAATATTAGACTATATTTTCATTATACATCAGCAGTTCTGGATGCACATTTGGGCATGGATAGCATAAAGACATGCAAGCACCTTTTGTTTTAAGAAGGCTATACTGATCTACTAACTGACAGAATGAGTAGAAACTTCCTTTGATTATCACTACTCATTTGCAGAACTTGATAAAAGGCTCACCCGTTTGCAAGTTTACTGAACTCATAGCATCAATTATCAACACTGCGGTCTGCAGAAAAGGGCAAGGAATCTGATTAGATATGAAAATTTTAAAGGGCTTTTCTTGATGACTTACATCTGCATAGGAACCCATAGTGGTGCGTGAGCCAGACGTACTGACAATCCAGTGTCCATACCCAGTATCTGGTCCATCTACATTTATATCTGCCAAATGTTGCTGCAGCACTTCAAAAACAAAGTAAAAAATAAATATGTAAACATTACAAACTATTGGATTAACCATTGGCTTTGCGGTAATATGAAAATTCTGTACATTACTGCCCATCCACTGTATATAAGCATTCTTCAGAATCTTTCGGAGTGTATCTATAGTGTATTTTAAGCCCTACATCCTCATTATCACGATAACCTTCAAGTGGAGGTGTAGACAAATAATTACGCAGTAGGCACAGCTAATAACCATGTAAAGTCGTTTTTATCAAAGTTTGTTCACTTCTGACCAGTTAGTCTTATGGTTCACACACCTCTTCCCCACAACACAGCAATGAAGACAACAAAAACATTAATGCCTTGTGCACGTGGCCATACTACAGCATACGTACATACGAAGGCTGCGTTTATTCCCACAGGGATGCATGGAACACCAGTGCAGTCCCATTTATGTCAATTGGTCACAGCCGCTGCTCCCAATTTGACATTTGTGTGGGAGAATGGCCCTGAACGCAGACAGCATGCGTTCAGGGCCGTGCACCCGCACTGATGTAATATGTGCCTGTGAAGGAGGCCTAATTATTTGCAACCTCCTTGGTAAACACTATGCCTTCAGCTTTTTCACTACACAAATAAACGATAATCATAAACAGCTGTCCAATAAGTACATAGGTGATTTAGGAAATACTGGAATCATCTTCCTGCAGTGTTGCAAGAGTGTGTCCATCATAAGACTTGCCTAACAGAACAATGCTTTGACAAGGTAAAATTGTTTATATATATTTATTTAAATTATGTAGCTGTCTGGAGTTTAATTTTAAAGTGTCAGTTCACCAGAAACCTGCCTATGCAGATAAGGGGTGTCTCTGGTTAATAATCTGTGTGTCTCTGACTAAAGTTGAATAATACCCTTGGTATAGGTGTAGACCATTTATGTACCTCATGGAAACCTGACTGGAATACTCCCAGGATGTTGCTAAGTGAGATCTAGTCATTATTACTAACCTTCACCATCACAGGAGTTCAATTACACAGGCCTACTGCTACTTTACAATACCTGTCCTATTTTTGTGCTCCTTTTGTGTATCTGCACCCTAAGGCCTCATGCACACAGGAAGTTAAAAAAAAACTCTCCTAGAAGCTGTCCTCTGGCAGCAGCATTTTTGCAGAAAAAGTGCCTGACACTTTTACAAGCATTTAGGCACGTTTACAAGCGGAAAATGCTCAGGCGTTAATTAATTTCATTGGCCAGAATGATAATTTATTCTATCCGTTGAAAGGAATACTCGAGCGCTAAACGCGACTAGCATTTAGATGTGCATAGCTGCGTCAAGCGTTTTTCTGCCAAAACACCGGTGCTCCTGGATGCACCGGCCCTGGGGTTTTTTCCTGCTGGTATACGCTACTGCTACTAAAAGCTTCTAAAAGTCTATGTGTGCATGGACACATAGGATAACAGAGGGCCGTTAAGAAGCGATAACAGAGGGCCGTTTAGAAGCGGTAAAACAAAAAAAAAAAAATAAAACACCTGACGCCCCTAAAAGTGGCTGCAAAAATGCCCTTGTGTGATTGAGGCCTTAAACACAATATCCTAAACTTGCATTCAGCCATAAAACTCAAGTGACTGGTGCCCAACGTATTATCTTCCAACCATACAAAAAGGCCCAGACAGACCCTAAGCCATAGAAAGGTTATCCTGCCACAATATTCAGGGGGCCTTTCTATGGCTTAGGGTCCTGTCTGGGCCTTTTTGTATGGTTGGAAGATAATAAGTTGGGCACCAGTCACTTGAGTTTCGTTACCTTTTATGGCTGAATGCAAGCTTAGGATAGCGTGTTTAAGGCCTCATGCACACAGGGGCGTTTTTGCAGCCACTTTTAGGGGCGTCAGGCGGTTTTCTTTGTTTTACTGCTTCTAAATGGCCCTGTGTTATTCTATGTGTCCATGTACACACACACACACACACACACACACACACACACATACATATATATATATATATATATATATATATACATACACACACACACTGTGGTAATTTGGTAATTTGTTAGTTTTCGGTTTGTGGATTGTGTCTATGCATGTGATGAGCTTTATTAACTAATTTTTATTTTAAAGCGATACTAAACCCGGGATACTGCATTCACTCTCTATCTGGTTTCCCACAGTATAGACTACATATAAATGCAATTATTTTAGTAAATATAAACTGCTCAATGCCTTTTTCCTCTAAACAAAATTGAAGAAAAGTGAATATTAGACTGTTCAAAAAAAATAGCCGTGTTTGTATTCTTCTTTACAAACTCAAACATTCACTATATAAACTGAAAAATGTTTGAAGATTTTGCTTTCCTTTGAATCACTTAATATTTAGTTGTATAAGCACTGTTTCTGAGAACTGCTGTACATCTGTGTTGCATGGAGTCAACCAACTTCTGGCACCTGTGATCAGGTATTCCAGCCCAGGATGATTGGACTACATTCCACAGTTCTTCTCTATTTCTTGGTTTTGCCTCAGAAACTGCATTTTTGATGTCACCCCACAAGTTTTCTATTGGATTAAGATCCGGGGATTGGGCTGGCCACTCCGTAACATCAATCTTGTTGGTCTGGAACCAAGATGTTGCACATTTACTGGTGTGTTTGGGGTCGTTGTCTTGTTGGAACACCCATTTCAAGGGCATTTCCTCTTCAGCATAAGGCAGCATGACCTCTTCAAGTATTCTGATGTATTCAAACTGATCCATGATCCCTGGTATGCGATAAATAGGTCCAACACCATAGTATGAGAAACATCCCCATATCATGATGCTTGCACACACCATGCTTCACTGTCCTCACAGTGTACTGTGGCTTGAATTCAGTGTTTGGGGGTCGTCTGACAAACTGTCTCCGGCCACTAGACCCAAAAAGAACAATCTTACTTTCATCAGTCCACAAAATGTGCGCCATTTCTCTTTAGGCCAGTCAATGTGCTGTTTGGCAAATTGTAACCTCTTCAGCATGTCTTTTTTTTCAACAGTGGGACTTTGCGGGGGCTTCTTGAAGATAGCTTGGCTTCACATAGGCGTCTTCTAATTGTAACAGTACTCACAGGTAACTTAGACCTTCTTTGATCTTCCTGGAGCTGATTGTTGGCTGAGTCCTTGCCAACTTGTCTTTCAGGTTTTGGTTGCCATTTTAAAGCATTTGCGATCATTTTAGCTGAGCAGCCTATCATTTTCTGCACTTCTTTATATGTTTTCCCCTCTCCAATCAACTTTTTAATCAAGGTACGTTGTTCTTCTGAACAATGTCTGGAACGACCCATTTTCCTCAGAACTTCAGAGAGAAATGCACTGTAACCAGCATGCACAACATTTGCTGCCTTCCTTCCTTAAATAAGGGCAATAATTGCCACCTGTTTTTCAAAGAATGAATGACCTCACTAATAGAACTCCATACTGCTATTATTTTGAACATGCCCCTTTCAATTAGTGATTCAATTACACAGAATCAGCAGCATGCATGTCATGACTGTTGGGTCTGTTGGATTTCTATTACTCTACTACACCTGCAAGTAAATTATTTGCCATGTAGAAATATCATTTCTACCAAAAACAGTGATTGATCAGGTTAGTGATGTCTGACTGCTATTATTTTGAACACAACTGTATATCTTATCGGGAGATAAAAGTTGGACACTGGAAGAAGGGGAGGATCAGAGAAGTCAGGAGCACAAAGCTTTTTTACACAATGCAGAAAATTAACCCCTTAAGTTCCACAGTGAGTATAACAAGCATGCTTTACTGCATATACAAACTGATTTTACTGTTGTGGGTTTAATAACACTTTAAAGTTTAGTAAGTTTAAATATAGTAGCTGTGGTGTAGATTGTGCATCTTTTAAGTGTGGTGTATTTTCTTGTCAACCAGTAAAACCTTAACAAAAAGAATAATTTAAAAAAAAGATAGAACCCTTTGCTACAAACAGTATTTTTTTATTATTTGGGAGTGGCTGTGGGAAGGGGGGAAAGTATAAAACTCACCCATAAATCCTCCTTTGGCTATACTAATATATTCTTTGTTTTTCTGTAAAGAAAACATAAATCATGACATTATCAATGGAAAGTAAAAAATGGCTAGTATAATTGTTCTGTAAACCAGATTTGGTTTTTCACTCTTCAGATTAAAAACATAAATGTTCCAAACTCCATGCTTGCTAGGTTTCTTCCATGAAGTGGAATTGCATTTCTAGCATAAACACTCTCTACCCCCCCCATTGCCTTGCTGACAAATACTATAAAAAACAGACCTTACATGCAGCTAACAGTGTTTACTTAATGGGGTGGATGCTCTCCCTGCAGGAAGTCCACCAGCTTACGCATGCGCAGGACCTGGAAATACTAACGCGTTGATGAGGGCAGTTCCACATCATAAGAGGAACCCACCAGGAGTGGAATGAGACAAAAGGGTTAGAAAAAGGAATGAGCAGGAGTAAATGTTTACTACTGGTGTTCCTGTATTACCTACCTGTAAGAAATGAGCAAGCACCATATTCATATACATGTCCTCCTCTTCCCTTCCACTGCCCATAAAGCACAGATGTTCTCCTCCAGCTACTGAGCCAGACTCCAGGGATTGCTTCTGAGCTTCCAAGAGAGACTTCACTGACAGGGAAAACTCTCCGGGGTTCTGCAGCATCTGCAACACACAACAGCTGTCAGAGCTGGAGGGGGAGGGGTAGTGGGAAAGCAACAGGACCAGTCGGGCAGCAGGCCTGGACTGCAGCAATGGATCACCACCTTCTACTCCCTGAAGAGATGCTGTGGAGAGTCACCTGATGGCGGCTTCCGCTAAATTCAAAAGGGTTCAGGTTGTTTTTTTGTTAACAAATGATGAAAGAATGGTACGAGGTGGATTGCAAATTTTGCCCATAGATGGACTTTAAGCCAGTCATTTAAGTCTAAAAAACAGGAATTTTGATGTACCTGTAAATTGCACATCTTGGAGTCCAGTCAAGACACAGGTCCTTCCCATCTTCCCCCGTTATCTCCTTACTGCTTGCCAACAAACAGGAGGCTCACGGAGTGCATATGGTTATATGGATACACTTGGGGGCAGTCCCAGGAAAGCTTTGCCAGTGTCCAATCACCCGAAAGTAGTGGTATATAACACATTGTCTAAAATCAATTTATGTGTCCTGTACTGTATGATAAAAGTAGAACTATAGGCAAAACTTTTTTTTTTTAATTTTTGGATAGAGCAAGGGAGGGTTAAAATCCCTGTCAGATTTTTTATTTTTTTGCCGTCTGTGTCCCATTTCAGAGATTTCTCTTCACTTCCTGTCCCACAGCCCAGCAGGAAGTGAGAGGAAATCCCTGCAAATAAAAGGAATCCATTGGAATTCAATAATAATGGTAAACAGGACAAATAGAGATGGTAAATCTCCTTAACAGGGGCACAGCCTTCAATAAAAACTGACAGGGGTTCTAATCTCTCTCCACTCTATCCAACATTAAAAAAAAAAGTTTTGCCTTTAGTTAAACTTTAGGATATTAGCTTTCAAAGAAAAACATAAACAAGTTGAAAATGCACATATTTATAACCGCAATACAAACATTACAAGTGACAATTGTCGCAACTTACCAGATCAGAGTCTAAGTGAAATGCAGTAGATAGGTGACCAGAGTTGTACTGTTCTGCCGGTCGGCAATCCACCACAAAGAACCGTACTCCCTCCTAAGATAACCAGATAATTTAAATGAAAAAAAAAAAAAATACCAAAATAACAGACCCGATTTTAAAGCTGGTCATGCACTGTTTCTTTTGTTTTTTAAATAATTTTTTTTTTTTTTGTATCGTTTTGTATGGTTAGGCCCATAAACATATTATACAATTGGAAACATCAATTTATAAACATCAGTTATTTATTTCTGTTGAGGTCTAGAAGGGAATGCATTGGAGACATGCTTAGCTGACTTAGACATTGTCCGTTCTTTTTCATACAGCCTACTACACATAACGAGGAGGATGAAGTACCTGCCGCTGCAGCCACTGATTAAGAAAAAACTTCTAACGCATCCCTTCAATTAAACAAATCGATTTCTGTCAAGCGGGGATTGCCACACACGGATCGGAAATTTGATCAATCCCTGCTGAACCAGTTGAATTTCAATCAGTATATGGCCAGCTTATGACACAGGGTCCTCCTCCACTCCAGAGGTGAAACTTCAGTCTCATGATCTTTAAAATCGGTTAGCAAACTAAAATCTTTGACATTTCTATAGAAGGGGATAAAATACACAAAATACCAAACCTGCCACTATATTATGGGGTCCACACACACACCACAATTCAAACATAGAATTTTCCTTTGATTTGATTTTCAAATCGTTCAATGTTTACAATGTTTCTGGTGGTTTCAATCAGAATCAAATGACAACTCTTCTTCAGATTGGACATCGTAGAAAGTTTGTAGCTTATCTGACTGAACTGTAATGGGCACTGTATGCACACAGTCTTATTCCTTGTTTAGGGAAGTATTTTATCCCATACAAAAATAAAAAGAAAAGAAAGCAAAACCCAGTTTAGCTGTGGTGTCATGCTGATTTTACGCTAAAGGAGCTAAGGCCCAAACCCTACCTTTTCCCAAACATCAGACTAGAAGTAATAGAAACTATCTGATGCATTTTTTTTCAGCGCTGGAGGGACCTGGTAACCCTAAAATCTGTGCCTAAACACTTAATACCTCCAATCTCATCTTACAATTGACCCCTAACAATTCACTACCTAACCCCAGTAGTCAAACTAGCCACAAAACAGTCCTTAGTACTTAACTCCCCCACTAATACTGTCAAAAGTGGGCCCTTGAACTCCACATAACAACCTCAACCCAAATACTTGACCCAATCCATTAAGTGCCTAATACTACACTCCCATGCTGAACTTGCAACATGAAGATCGCCTGGCTGGTAAGTGCTGCTGACGTTCCCCTGCTTCCTCTACTTCTATAGTCCATTGCCTTAATTTCTGAGGTGCTCTTAACTTCATGCATCCTCCCTCTTTCCAATCTACTGCTTTCTTTGCATGTTCTCTCTTACAGGGTATGTAGAAATGTATATACAGTTGTGTTCAAAATAATAGCAGTCAGACATCACTAACCTGATCAATCGCTGTTTTTGGTAGAAATTATATTTCTACATGGCAAATAATTTACTAGCAGGTGTAGTAGAGTAATAGAAATCCAACAGCCCCAACAGTCATGACATGCATGCTGCTGATTCTGTGTCATTGAATCACTAATTGAAAGGGGCATGTTCAAAATAATAGCAGTGTAGAGTTCTATTAGTGAGGTCATTCATTCTTTGAAAAACAGGTGGCAATTATTGCCCTTATTTAAGGAAAGAAGGCAGCAAATGTTGTACATGCTGGTTACAGTACATTTCTCTCTGAAATTCTGAGGAAAATGGGTTGTTCCAGACATTGTTCAGAAGAACAGTGAACCTTGATTAAAACGTTGATTGGAGAGGGGAAAACATATAAAGAAGTGCAGAAAATGATAGGCTGCTCAGCTAAAATGATCGCAAATGCTTTAAAATGGCAACCAAAACCTGAAAGACGTGGAAGAAAGCAAAAAACTACCATTCGAATGGATAGAAGAATAGCGAAAATGGCAAGGACTCAGCCAACAATCAGCTCCAGGAAGATCAAAGAAGGTGTAAAGTTACCTGTGAGTACTGTTACAATTAGAAGACGCCTATGTGAAGCCAAGCTATCTGCAAGAAGCCCCCGCAAAGTCCCACTGTTGAAAAAAAGACGTGCTGAAGAGGTTACAATTTGCCAAAGAGCACATTGACTGGCCTAAAGAGAAATGGCACAACATTTTGTGGACTGATAAAAGTAAGATTGTTCTTTTTGGGTCTAGTGGCCGGAGACAGTTTGTCAGGCAACCCCCAAACACTGAAATCAAGCCACAGTACACTGTGAAGACAATGAAGCATGGTTGTGCAAGCATCATGATATGGGGATGTTTCTCATACTACGGTGTTGGGCCTATTTATCGCATACCAGGGATCATGGATCAGTTTGAATACATCAGAATACTTGAAGAGGTCATGCTGCCTTATGCTGAAGAGGAAATGCCCTTGAAATGGGTGTTCCAACAAGACAACGACCCCAAACACACCAGTAAATGTGCAACATCTTGGTTCCAGACCAACAAGATTGAAGTTATGGAGTGGCCAGCCCAATCCCCGGATCTTAATCCAATAGAAAACTTGTGGGGTGACATCAAAAATGCAGTTTCTGAGGCAAAACCAAGAAATAGAGAAGAACTGTGGAATGTAGTCCAATCATCCTGGGCTGGAATACCTGTTCACAGGTGCCAGAAGTTGGTTGACTCCATGCAACACAGATGTACAGCAGTTCTCAGAAACAGTGCTTATACAACGAAATATTCATTAAGTGATTCAAAGGAAAGCAAAATCTTCAAACATTTTTCAGTTTATATAGTGAATGTTTGAGTTTGTAAAGAAGAATACAAACACTGCTATTTTTTTGAACAGTCTAATATTCACTTTTCTTCAATTTTTTTAAAGGAACAACACAAATTTGATATATTTTACTTCATGTTTTGATTTGGAATAGAATGGGTAGTGTTCCCAATGCATTTGTGTGTATGGAAATAAAAGCTATTAGAAGGATTTTGAGCTTTATTCACTTTTATCAACACACTGCTATTATTTTGAACACAACTGTATATATATTTATACACCCCACACTATAAAGTCAGGCAGGAACTTACGTAGCATGTATATATATTGTGCATAGTGTGTCATGTCTATACTGCCAAGAGTGTGCCCTTTACACACAGGAGGCATAAGGATGATTTCTGATCTTTTGTAACACCGAACAATCATTTTGAAAAAACATAATAGCTGCATGAGTTTTTCTTGCATTGATCTGGGAAAGTGTATCACGTAACAGTAGCATTTACTAACCTCTTGCTGATTAGCTTGAAGAATTTCTGATACAGAAACTGCTAAGCAAAGAGCCTGGCTAAGATCAGTGTCATCTTTCAGAGCGATGAGGCTGCTACCAAACAGGTTCTGGTTATCCTAGAAAGGAAAACATGACCTATGAATCAATAAATGCATTTACACAGTAAAGGCCTAGCTTACACAGACTACCTTGCAAATGTAAGTCTGAAGAGCAATGTGTACTGCAACTATCTGTAAAGCATTTCACAAACTTCAGTCGGCTTTCTTGAAGCACTTAAAAGCCTCCATTTAGCTATGCTCTGGGAGTGTTGAAAACAGATCTTTATGGGAGTGCTAGCTGTTGAACCAACCAGGTTGTTAGCAGACCTTTAGTTATTTTCAAGCAGTGCTAAGCTGCCTTAAAGCCTGCTGAAGGCAGCTTACAAGTCAAAGGCAAGAACTCTCACTAAGATCTGCATCCAAAATTCCTTGACTGGCGTTTTACTAAGGTGAGAATTATATTTGTTTGGCACTCTATTAGGGATCAAGGGGGTATGTTTCTTTCCTTGCTTTAAATTTATTTTGCAAGCAGAGCTCAGTGGCATATAAACAAGTTCCCCACACAATTTCCAGTGTATGGTTTCAGGGACTGCTTTATAAACTGTGAAGTTGGGGGGCATTGCTTGGAAGGTAATGTGGCCACAGCTATTTTGAGGAAAATAAACTACTCTGCACTCGAGGCAACAGGGCCACGAGGGATGGCAAGAAAAATACTGTCCTGGAAGGCATATAGAAACCCCTCATCTCAGCAAGAAAAGATATTTTCAGGGTTACTTACCTTACGGAAAGACACAGGAGTTTTATTGTAGTAATGCTGAGCTAAACTGAACAGGTCTTCAATGTCTCCAACCTCTAAATTCGTTGGAGGACTTTCCAGGAATTCTGGAACAAAAGCGCAGAAATCTGAAGTTTTAACTTTAAACCAATAACACTTCTGAAATTAAAAATGGTCACTTAAATATATATAAAGAGACACATTAATTAAACCTTTAAAATGGTTGCAATCCCTCACATATACCCAATGAAGTGACTGGCCTCAGGTGACACACAGACAAACAAATCCTCCTATATAATTTGTACCTGTTTATCTGCTCTGTCTACATCTGTTCAAAGTCCAGAAGTTATAAATCTTGTCTGAGATTTCTGAAAACAGTGGGCAGAGAGCTGAAATTGCACCCTGCAGAGCTCAGTGAGGAGATCTGAGAGAGCTAATTGGAGGGAAGGGACACACCCCTTTCACACAGCAAACAGGAACAGAGTTGAGTCTTTTAATCACAGGCTGTGTGCTGAAGGTTACTTCCCTGAAACCTGTTTTTTCTCTTGGTGTTAGAGAAAAACCTGCCAGAAGTGATTCATGCTGATAGCAGAGGAACAAGGCAATAGAAAGAAAGGACACACCAGTGCAACTTGTCATGTGATTTCACAATTTCAAATCAAATGACAAGTTGCACTCTATAATTGGCAATGGAACTGGTCAAATTGGTGTGACTCCGACTTTGCGGTGCCACACCAATTTGAAAAAAAGCTTCCTGTACTACTCTTTGCGATTTCAGGTGCGACTTACAAAGACATCTGTGCATGAAGTCACATAGATATCATCTAAGTTGCATCCGAAATCGCACTGACATGCGGCAGTGAAGTTTCACGACCTCAAAGTCGGATCCAGTATGAACCAGGGCTTAGTGCTCTTAATTGAGATACACTATGGAAGGATATACTGTGTTCATATTTCATGTCTGAGGTTTACAACCACTTTAAAAAATAAACAGGTATCACATTCATAAACTTGAGTTTTAAAATCATCCAGGCAAATATTAAAATCATGTTTTATAAAACGGATGCCACCATGATCTTATTGTTGAGTGCCATTTTACTTACTCTGAGAGCATTCTCAGTAGTACTGGCACAGCTTAAACACCTTCACAGGTATTTATACCACTGACCCTAATTAATAATAAATTGCACAATTTTATTTGATGGGTTTCATGCATTACAGCACTAATGGCCACAAGGGATAATTGTCCAGCCTTTATTTGTTGGAGCTAGGAGCAACTCTGCAACAAACAGAAAAGGACCTGTAATAGATCCGTCACCAGCCTGACTGACAGAGCAGCAATTTTGGAGCATTGCCTATTTTGAGCTGTTTATTTTGCTTTTTATCCACCTCTCCTCCTTTTCTGGTGTTGCTCTAGGTATTCTACAACTCAATGTCTAAACAATGCTATCAAGAACTGCAAGAGGGCAAGAAGAAGCATGTGACCAGAAACCTGCAAGGCTTTTCAAATATATTACAGTGGGGCTATAGCTATATAAATGTAGCATTTTGGAATGGGGACAAAGCCTTGGCTAGGATTTCTATTAATTGGTGGCCTCAAGATAGGCTCTAATCAATCTGGGCCTTATTTTTTAACAAGTAAAAAGATTATCCCTTTCATCCTCGCCCCAGTGTAGTGTGGAACAACAAAAGGAAGAATCTAGCTATATATTTGCAATATCCCCCTAATGGAGTCCCTGAAAGATACAGTCAGGTCCATAAATATTGGGACATCGACACAATTCTAACATTTTTGGCTCTATACACCACCACAATGGATTTGAAATGAAACGAACAAGATGTGCTTTAACTGCAGACTGTCAGCTTTAATTTGAGGGTATTTACATCCAAATCAGGTGAACGGTGTAGGAATTACAACAGTTTGCATATGTGCCTCCCACTTGTTAAGGGACCAAAAGTAATGGGACAATTGGCTTCTCAGCTGTTCCATGGCCAGGTGTGTGTTATTCCCTCATTATCCCAATTACAATGAGCAGATAAAAGGCAAACTCTAATCTGGCCTTCCTGTTTTTGAGGCTTACCAATGGTTTACATCTTGTGGTGAACCCTCTGTATTCACTCATGTGGTGAAGTCTTCTCTTGCTTGTTGACTTTGACACACATACACCTACCTCCTGGAGAGTGTTCTTGATCTGGCCAACTGTTGTGAAGGGTGTTTTCTTCACCAGGGAAAGAATTCTTCGGTCATCCACCACAGTTGTTTTCCGTGGTCTTCCGGGTCTTTTGGTGTTGCTGAGCTCACCGATGCGTTCCTTCTTTTTAAGAATGTTCCAAACAGTTGTTTTGGTCACGCCTAATGTTTTTGCTATCTCTCTGATGGGTTTGTTTTGTTTTTTCAGCCTAATGATGGCTTGCTTCACTGATAGTGACAGCTCTTTGGATCTCATCTTGAGAGTTGCCAGCAACAGATTCCAAATGCAAATAGCACACTTGAAATGAACTCTGGACCTTTTATTTGCTCATTGTAATTGGGATAATGAGGAATAACACACACCTGGCCATGGAACAGCTGAGAAGCCAATTGTCCCATTACTTTTGGTCCCTTAACAAGTGGGAGGCACATATGCAAACTGTTGTAATTCCTACACCGTTCACCTGATTTGGATGTAAATGCCCTCAAATTAAAGCTGACAGTCTGCAGTTAAAGCACATCTTGTTCGTTTCATTTCAAATCCATTGTGGTGGTGTATAGAGCCAAAAATGTTAGAATTGTGTCGATGTCCCAATATTTATGGACCTGATTGTATATGAAACTAGCATGCAATTGAGATTTAAACAAAATTAAAAATATTAGCTAGGACTATAAAAGTTTGTTGCAGTTTACAAGAATGAGATTAATGTGACCTGTAGTCATTACCATGGTAACAACATGATATTATAAAACGTAGGCATCTGCAGATACCTACACAAAGCCTCTGTTTTCTTCTAGAGTGCCCAAGGGTTCGGAAACCTGAAGAGATCTAAAGCATAAAAAAAAAAAATCACACCTAGAAAGATGGTGCCAGAATAATGCATTAAGAACCATTAGTCAAGGGTTACTAATGGTCCTCCTTACGATGAAAGGCCACTTTAGGGGAAGGGGTGGTGCAAGTGCATACTTCTAAGTCAGTATTTGCATATTAACACTCCATGGGGTTGATTTACTAAAACTGAAGTGAACAAAATGTGGTGCAGCTCTGCATAGAAACCAATTGGCTTCCCCCCCTTTTTTTTGTCAAAACTTAATAGAACACGCTGACGTTAGAAGCCGATTGGCTAACATGCAGAGTTGCGCCAGATGTTGCACTCTCCAGTTTTGAAAATCAACCCCATATGTTTCAGGTCTTCCAGAGAACTCTGCAATATAAATGGAGCAAGGATACCTGAAGGTGCCTGCTCCATCTTCCTGTAAATGCTCCAGTGGCACTGACAGCAAGTTCACTTTAAACCTCATCCAGTACACTGATGTAAGTATAAAGCTACAGAAAAAGCACTTGGAGAAACAAACCAGGGCTAACACCAGGTAACTACCTCTCTATGGTTTCCTCTATCAAGCTTCAACTTTCTGAAAGTTGCCAGTTACACCTAACCTTGATCATAACTATACTGAAAATATCTCAAATAAAAATTTGATAGCTTCTGATTTCATGGGGGGGTGACAAATGCTTCTGACAAACCTTTTATTGCACCGTGAGATTTTCCAGATCTCTGTACAAGTTTGGCCAGTTATTTACTCGAATGTAAAAGCAACCTATTTTGACAGAAATAAGGAAAGTGTCATTGCAGACCTCTCTTTCCAAAAATGGTAGCTTTTTGGCTGTCATACCCAAGCGGCTTTCTGAGTCACTGATCTGGAAGCACAGAAATCAGAAATTCTCGCTATACTTTGATTTTCCGCCTAAAAAGCTGGATTTGAAAATGCGAAGGCCAAACAACTAGTAGTTTCAGGAGGAGGCTAGCAATAGCATTCTTCTTTCAGTTTAGTGAAAGGGGTAAAGATATGTCCATATACCACTGTCAAACAAGAATCATGGTGAGCTCCAGTGCTCCAGCTGAATCAAGGATGGGCAGTTATCTTTTCACTGGTTTTTACAGATAGATATGTGACCACAAAAAGCCTTAACTAGAAAAAACTCAAAATCCACTATATGCGTTACCCAAAGAATCTAACAGTAGCGTTCACCTCCCCACTCTTCTCTTTTCACTTTGCATTTACTAGATCACCACATGAGCTTTAAGCACATCAAATCTCCTTTAATTCCCCAGTGTGATGTCACAGACAGCTAAGACACAGTCAGAGTAATCTGTAGTAATATCTATGGAAGGGCAACATTGGGTAACATTTGTTATGCAAAAATATTTTTTGTGGTTGGGCCCGTACTTATAAGCTCTTCTTTACTTTCCATTTCTTCTGCCAGAACAGCATCTCTGAAAAGACATAAAAGCCCATTAGTGAAAAGCAGATACAAGGCTCCGACACATCAGATCTTCAGCCTGTGTACTCACTTTACATTGACAAGCATTATCAGCATCAAGAAGTACATAAAGAATGGGTCTGCCTGCTGTAAATAACTATCCCAAATCGCTTGAGTGACTTCGACTGGGCAGTGATGAGCAAATAAGCTTCCAAACTGAAAAACACAAAGCATAGAAAAGAGAAACAAAATCAGAGTCTGTTCAGTCTGGAATGGTTTACTATAAATAATCTACACAGTATAAAGTATTTATATTGTAGATCAAAACCCAAACTAGATGTCATTGAGGCTCGGTTCACACTTTTGCAACTTTGGAGCGGACTTGTGATACCTAAAGTTGCAGAACATGTTACTAGTTCTGAAGTCGCTGCAGCTTCAGAAATGGTTCCTGCACTAATTTCATGCAACTTTCTTGCGACTTGAGTGCCATAGAGTGCAAAAGTCAAATTCCAAAGTCACAGTGAAAATCATGCGCCTTTGGAGTCACCTAGTGTGAACCGAGCTTTAGTTTGCTAAAGCACTGTATCAAACAACTTACTTTCATAAAACACACATTTTTACCAGGTTTCATTCTGTTTATGAAACTAACGTTTAAATATGATAAAGACTGCAACAGGAGGTGGAACATGCAAAGGTGCACAAGAACAACTGTAAATCGCAAGTGGGAAGAAAGAGAGTCTTGTAATATCGCTGGGTGGTAACGCTGCTAGAGTATCAAAGACATACAAGCCCACCAGGCTCCATGTGGAACCAAAATATGGCCTTTAGGTAGATTGACTAATTAAGCTCCACTACAGCAACCAGCTAAATAAAGACCCAAAACTTCTCTAGATATTTGTTCTTTCAGTCATTTGGGAACAATTTATCAATTTAAAGACCCTCTGCATGTGTCAATTTGCAATACAAAGAAGATATTCAATGTTACATTACCAGTCTAATTTAGAGAAAATTAGCACCTTCTTCACAACAGCGTTATCTCAATGTTATCAGTGATTGTCCATGTGCTTTTTTTCATCTTTTGGCAAACAAAACTTGTGATACAGACAGTCTAGTACTAAAATTCATAATCAAGATGATATTTGGCAGATCTATCAATCACCACACATTATCTTCTGTGAGCCTGGGTTCACACTAATGTAGGCCGTGCAGCCCGCATTTGCTCGGGCGCGGCATCCCATTCATCTGTGCCCCCCATTTCCCACACCTTTTTAAAACGCAGCAGGCACGGAAAACGCATGGTCCTTTTGACCATGTGATTTCCTTGTGGTTCCCGCATCCGCAAACACGCTGCAGACTGAGAGATGAGAGGGAGCCATTCAAAATGAATGGCAGCCCTGCGCTTCACGTAAGAGCAGTGCAATTTGGCTGCGTGTGCAGGAACAGATGCAATTCCTGCGCCCACAACTAGCCACTACAGTGTGAACCAGGGCTGAAACATTCCTCAATCCATGAGCAACCCACACGTTCATACCAACCCAATGGTCCCTGAATAAAGCGTTATGAGGATGTTATTTTCTGTGATATCTGATACTGCTCAAAGCAGCCAGGATGCTGAACGTGTATATATAATGCCCATAGCTATTCAACCAATAATTAGCTGTCAGTCACTTTATTACAATATTTTATTATTATAAGCTTTACATGTACTTTTTTTTTTCTTTCAGACTGGATTTAATTGCTAGCTTCTCAAACCTATACATAACATAAAACTAGCTTTTCAGATAAAGGAGAAAATGCATTTGGAAACCTTACTTAAACATGATCTGTTCTTTGAAGCAAGCTCAGGTTTGCTCGGCTGCTAAAAAATGTAGTACATAAGCCATTGATTTGCTTACTGCCATTTGTATTTGGCTCATGACATGACAATGGCTATTTCTCAGCAAATGTTATACACCATGGTGTTTATTTACTAATTTGGTAGAGGCTATTCATTTGGCAAAAATTTTTTGCTGAAAAAAAAAATCTGCTTTCCCTTGCATATGATTGGATATTCAAAGTGAAAACAAGTTAATCTTATTTATTAGTAATCGCTTTGCTAGGTGAACAGCCTCTCCTGCTTTAAGTCAGCCCTGAGATGCAGATTCAGACAGAGGTTTTTGAATTCCCAAATTCACCGTATTTAAGTTACACATAGAAACAAATCAAATTTATGCCAAAATATATTAACTGTTTAATTAAAAAAAAAAAAAAGAAGTTACCCAGTTAAGTGCATAAAGGTCCGGTGTGATTTTCTTGGTGTCTAGAAAAGAACAGAGTTCTGGCTCATGGTACTGAAGAAGTAGACGAAATAGGTGAAATGGTTTTCCTTTCTTGTAACAATCCCTAAAGCCAAAATAGTAAGTTGTAAGTATTGATGCAGCTCAGTAAATTATTAACTATTATATAGATAATAAACCTGTAATGTTCTTTCTAAAACGGAGAAATGAAAACTTTACATAAAAGAACAGACTAAAAAGTGAAAAAAAAAAAAAATCAATACTAAAATTGCAAGCTAAACAGATTATTATATAAATTGTGTGTGTTTTAGAGGTAAGGGAGTTTATGGCAAGTAGAAAAGTGCTATTTTTATTTTCATTTATTAAGGGACACAGGAAGTCTAACTTTTGAGACGTGCAAAAGCAGTCCAACAAAAGAACGGGCAATGCAGCAAACACAAACAGGTCCACGAAAATGGACTAGGGATGGTCTGCAGAAGCGGACATCAGATGAGGCCTCCACATCCACCTTGTAGAACTTTGAGGACATGTAAACAGATTACCAGATGACAGCCTTTAAAGTCTATGAAACATTTGCTTGATGCCAAAAAGGCCAAGAAGCTCTCAGAAATCTGGTACAGTGTGACTCATCAGGGAAGGATGAAATCCAATCCTTGAGATCATAAGCTTGGATGATAGTCTGCCTCTGTCACCTAGAGATAGCAGAACAAGAAGCCAGAGTACCCTTATGGGGGGTTCATCCAGGATGACAGTGGCTGAGAGATAGACAGTCACAGCCCAAATCATATAGAGACAATGGGGGGGAACCTCCATTTGGTGAACTGAAGCTGGACAAAGGGAAAAAACAGAAATGTCCCGGCTGAGGTGAAAGGCAGAAACTACCTAAACCTGGCTATACACTAGTATGTATTCAACCAAACATTTGTATGAAAATTCTTTATACAATCAATGACTTGATGAATGTCATTTGAAAGGGCTTCAAAATTTTACTTGCTTTTAACCCCTTCACGCTGGCGCCTCCTGCCCCTTTAAGGGTTTCAGAAACCGTGAGGCGGGGGTGGGGGTTTAGAGTCATCTGAGCGCTGTCACATGATCGGGAAAGGTCTCGATCGAAAGAGGAGATCGGGACCTTTCTGTGAGTACCAGACGTGTGCTTGGAGCGCAGGTCTCAGCACGTCTTTTTTTTAATAGAATGCAAATGTGCGGCCGCTCGGCGTCTAGGCCTACACGCCGGGAGGCCGCACATTTGCGTTTGGCCGGCATGAAGAGGTTAAAGAATAAGTTCACCTTTTGCACAAAAATAATAAATGCACTTTTTTAACACGGATTTGTCACTGCTGGAAGACTGGTCAAAGCAGCGGAAACTGCAGTTCAGTGTTTCTAAATGTAAAATATTGCACTTAGGAAAAAGAATCCCTTGATAGTGTACAATATTTGGGGTACAGTGTTGGCCAGCACTACAGAGGAAAAAGATTTGCAAGTGCTTATTTCAGATGATTGCAAAATGATTAAACAGTGTGGCCAGGCAGTGAGAAAAGCAAAGAGAATTATAATATGCATCACTAGATGGTCTCCAGGAGGAAGAAGATCTTGATTCCCCTATATAGATTTTTTGTTAAACCTCATTTAGAACTGTGTCCAGACTGGAGGAGAGGAATTTCAGGAGAGGAGGAATTTCAGGAGGTAGATTCAGTACAGGAATCACTCCTTGGAAGGCAGCAAGGTATCTTGGGACTTGAAGTCCCTAGAAAATGAAAATAAACAGTTGGGGAAAGCTGCAAAGCATGCCAGGAATCCAGGAAGTTGCTGAAAGATATCCAGCAGACAGGTAGAACTCACAACATGAAAGAAGAGGTTTCAAGTAAGTTTTATATTGAACGGTCAAAGATAACTATTGTTTGTATTTGTATTACAACTCTGATTTTATAAAATGAACATGTTGTGACTATAGAACTCTTTTAAAGACATGTCTGCAATCAGAAGTTATTGAATCATTTCATTGTTCAAACTGGAGTTGTGTTGCAATGTGAGATTTTTTTTCCCATTTTGAAACAAAAACTCATCAACATGAAAAAGGGAAGTAAACACACATAATTATACTACAAACTCTGTTGCGCAATTACTAACATCTTTTAACTACTCCAAATTAAAGCAGTTGCTTTTCTTTTTTTTAATTAACTAACATTATACTTCCCAGCTTTGTGCAATGTTTTTGCACACAGCAGCCTCTTCTCATCCACTCCTCACTGGCTGTGATTGACAGCAGCAGGAGCCAGTAACTCCCACTGCTGTGTCTCAGCCAATGAGAGAGACCAGGGAGAGCCAAGGCTCTTGTGCACATCCTGGACTGCATCGGGCTTGGGTAAGTATAGGGGGGGACTGCACACTGATGTTTTTTTTACCTCCATGCATCCAACTGAAATTAAAATTTACTTTCAATGGGAGAACATATAACAGATGCCAGGACATAACTTATCAACACTGTTATTTGCACAGTGACAACAGATTTTAGAAACAGGATAACAGTAGATACCCCTATTGTTTAGGGAAGCAAAAACACCCCCAAGTTTGGACTAGTTCAGCTTTGTTGAGAATGAAAGGATATACACAAGAGCTAGGATTCTACATTCATGTTTAGGAGGCATGACAACACCATATAAATTTATTCCCACAGAAAGCAATGTAGGCTTTCTAAAATTATATTGACCTAATAATTCTACATGGCAGTTTTAGATAGATTAAACAGAGAAAGTCTAATTAAGTTCTTTAGGAGCTTGAGAGGTTCTTTGCCTCTAATCCTGCATTGGAGGGACTCTCAAGTATTAAGAAAAATGGATCTGATGAATATTTGTGGGCATGGGAAAAGCTTTGTTCAGAGCCGCATTGTGTTCAGAGCAGCATTGCATCATGTACAGAGCAAAGTTCAGCAACTGTGATGACATCTAAACACAATGGATTTTAAGCCAAGCCAGGAATAATCTGTTCTACTTTGCATTTATGGCTTGCTGTAAGTTTAAAGCCTAACTCCACGTTTAAAGGATAAGTTCGCCTTTCGTAAAATAAATAAATAAATGTATATGATTATGAAGGTTAAATAAGAAAAAAAAAAAAAAAAATGCATTTATTTATTTTACACTGGAGCCTACAAAGCATTGCACTCGTGATCAATGGACTGCAGGTGCAATGTCAGGCTCCTGCAAACACTGCCAACAGCTCGCTGTCCGTACCTCAATACAGGCAGTTACTGAGCTGCAGAAATTGTCAATGATATACGAGGGTGCCACACTTGTAGATCATTGATAACTACAAGCTGCCTGCCGCAGTTCACAGACCCCTCTTTTTTGTATTCATTCGTAGAAGACAAAGCTTTCTGTAAATTGCTAAGCAGCACTCAGCTTGACTATATTTTGTCCAGGGAATGGGATGGGAATTTTAAGTCCAACTGCCAGAACAGAACACTTACTACAATACACCATGCAAGCGCACCTGCTAGTGCAGTAAATAGTTTTTTTTTGGCCAAGCTATTTATAGGGACATTAACCGCTTCCCGCTCGGCCTATAGTATAATGACTGCCGAGTGGGGCTCTCTTGTTCTTGTTCTGGATGGGACGTCATATGATGTCCCCAGAAATTGACACAGGCCGAACTGCGGCGCGATCTTTCACTCGCTGTGTCCACTGGACACAGCAGTTGACAGATCAGTGTGCCGGCCCACTGCCAGTACCATGTTATCACTGTGACCAATCAATTTCATTCAGAAAAAATGGTCACTTAGAACAGTGATTTTCACTGTTATAAGTGATCCTAGTGTGTGTAAAAAAGAAATAATAAATCCTGATCACCACCATAGAGTAGTACAGTGTTACTATGGCTGTGTTGCTCTGTTCACAATATGCAAAAAAAAGAAAAAAGGTAAAAAAAAGGATTTTTAAAAATGTTAAATTTTTTTTACATACTGTCACCAGTCAGTGTCCCTAATCACCACCACACCAGTTATACGATGATGTTGTACTGCACTGGTGACAGTATGCAGGAAAAGAAAGTGGGAAAACAACTTTTTTTTTTACTTTCTTCATTTTCCAAAAAAAGTGACAAAAAATTATAACTTCAAAAAACTTGCATACCTCTTACTAAATCCCTCGAACAGTCTACTTTCCAAAAAGGGGTAATTTGGGTGGTATTTGTACCATCTTGGCATTTTTGGGCCTCAAGAAATGAGACAGACCACCAGTACATGAGGACTGATCAATTTTCAGAGATGATAAATGGATATAACAGGTTTCTTCTCCCAAATGGCTACTGTCACTTTTTAAATTTTGAACATTTGTGCATGGCTCCGTGAATGTACAAACAACAGGTCCCAGCATGGCAGATGAACGTTATCAATGGGTCATCACACTAGTAGTACAATCACACTTCCTGCAACCCAGTAACTCTGTAAAGGTGGATACAAAAAGTCAGCAGGAACCTGTGCATTGCACCCACAATCCACTAATCATGGTTGTATTACCTAGTTGTCAGTTTTCTCATTCAGCCCTGGCCAAAAGGTTTGAGAATGACACAAATAATACTTTACCTGCAGGGAAACATGTGCAGTCATCATTGCTTTGCACAAAAAAGGATTCGCAGGCAAAGATATTGCTGCTACTAAGATTGCATCTAAGATTGCACCTAAATCAACCATTTATCAGATCATCAGAGAACTTCAAGGAGAGAGGTTCAGTTGTTGTGAAGAAGGTTTCAGGGAGCCCAAGAAATTCCAGCATGCGCCAGGACCATCTCCTAAGGTTGATTCAGCTGAGGGATCGAGGCACTACCAGTGCAGAGCTTGCTCAGGAATGGCAGCAAACAGGTGTGAGTGCATCTGCAGACACAGTGAGGCGCAGTCTTTGGGACAATGGCCTGGTGTCAGGAAGGGCAGTAAAGAAGCCACTTCTCTCCAGGAAAAACATCAGGGGCAGACTGACATTCTGCAAAAGGTACAATATATGACTGCTCAGGACTGGGGTACAGTGATTTTCTCTGATGCATCCCATTTCTGACAATTTGGGGCATCCGGAAAAAACCTTGTCCGGAGAAGAAAAGGTGAGTGCTACCATCAGTCCTGTGTCATGCCAACAGCAAAGTATCCTGAAACCATTCATGTGTGGGGTTGCTACTCAGCCAAAAAAAGTGGGCTCACCCACAATTTTGACTAAGAACATAGCCAGGAATAAAGAATGGTACAAACGCATCCACCGAGAGCAACTTCTCTCAACCATCCAAGAACAGTTTGGTGAAGAACAATGCCTTTTCCAGCATGATGGAGCACCTTGACATAAGGCAAAAGTGATAACTAGGTGGCTTAGGGAACAAAACATCGAAATTTTGGGTCCATGGCCAGAAAACTCCCCAAACCTTAATCCCATTGAGAACTTGTGGTCAATCCTCAAGAGGCGTGTGAAAAAAAAAAAAAAAACTCACAAATTCCAACAAACTCCAAACACTGATTATGCAAAAACAGCCTGCCATCAGGCAGGATGTGGTCCAGACGTTGATTGACAGCATGCCAGGGCAAATTGCAGAGGTATTGAAAAAGTCAACCATGAAAATATTGACTCTTTGCAAAAACATAATGTTACTGTCAATAAAAGCCTTTTACACTTAAGAAATTATTGTAATTATACTTCAGTATACCATAGTAACATTTAACAAAAAGATCCAAAAACAGTAAAGCGGCAGACTTTGTGAAAATTAAGAATTGTGTCATTCTCAAAACTTTTGGCGAAGGCTGTACATAATTACTTTCTTCCACTTTTGGTAATGAACTTGAATGAATGACGCCTAGACAACATTTGATTTTCTCTGAATATTAAAGTTATTGCTTCAGGGTTCATCATAAAAACTTTTCTTTGGTAATGATCTCTATAGTAGACAATGGGTCCACCAGAAGTATAAAAAAAACAAAGAAAACGGTTTGCTATAGTTATGTGATGTTGTCTAAATTGTTATCTTTAGACAAGTTTTCAACCAGGACAACTAATACTTTCTGACAGTTTATTTTTAATATACCTAAATTGTGCCTAGACTGTGCTTCAACATCCCCATTTTAGGAAAATAGGTCACCCACATTAGTTTGGCCAGAACTCTAATGAGCTATGATTCTCTTGAGGAGGGAAACTTCTCTTTTTTGTTAAATGTTGTATAACATATCCAAAAGAACTTCTGATAATGAAGATTGTGACTCTGGAGTATATATCTCTCTATAGATTGCATGTATGTCAAAGTAGCTAGATCCAACAACAAGTATCTATCAAAGTGAACCTGACCTTGCCTAAAAGTAGCAAATATATGAACTGAAAAGACTGTAGACAAGTACCTATGTTGGTGTTTAAATCAATTTTTGTGTTTCTGGGAGCTTCTGTTGGATGTGATTTAATTAATTTTGGAGGGCTGAACATGGATCAAATAGTGTTAAAGACTGCAAAATAACTTGTTTATAGAGATACATAGACTGCAGGATTGGAGTTCAAGCGTTAAAAAAAAAAAAAAAGTTATTTTATATAATATTTAATGGAAAAAAAAGACAATACATTTTTTTAAAATTAGCTTTGGAAAAAGGGATGTTTTCTGTATTAAAACGTACAATCTTGTACATTTTCATTTTACAATATGGTTCTTTAATTTCAAGCATATAAAATGGTGTCCACCAAAAGCAAACCTAAGTGAATGCACAATACAAATTACCAAAGAAGTATTAAAAAAAAAAATAAACAAAGTTAGATCAATACCTGGGAATATACTTATTCATTATTGCATAGAAGCAATTATACAAGTCGCTACGTGGTAAGTTGAGGTCCACCAATGGTTGCAGGAGGTGAATCCAGCTGACATCTTCCTGGTATTTGACATTTCGGGATTTACAGTAAAAAGTAACAACAGATTCAACATCTTGAAGGACTGATGTTTTCCTGTCTTCCGACACAACAAGCTGGTCTTAACAGAGACAAAAGAGTATACTATTATTTGTAAGGCACTTACAAAGAAAGTGTCACAGGCTTTTAAATGAATTAGAATTTGAAGAGCATCGACAATTTACGTTTAGGTGGCTTCCTAAAGATGTGGAAGAAGAAACAAATGGAAGTTCTGCTCACATGAACATAACCTCCAAATTTATAGCAGATGCTTTGAAAATGTACAGAGGAGCCTGAATCAATGCTTCCACCTATTTCCTTCTTCCTTTCTCTGTTATTCTGGGTTTAAAAACAAAGTGCACTATATCTATTTACACTGTATAATATTAATACAGAAGGTGAAATGGTTTGGATGCACACCTGTATAATTTACATCCAACTTTGTTTTAAAACTTTTCAGTTTTTTATTGCCTTCTCTGTCTCTGCTAGGGGGATTTGCCTCTGTTTGTTCTGGTGACCACTAACTCAGACTGAAACTGAGGGAAAACCTAAAACTTCGAATTGTCACCAGAACAGGAATAGAGGGGAAATGTTCGAATAGGGACACTACACTTGTTTCCATGACAAATGTTTCAGAGGGGATTTCCCTTACTTTGGTGAGATTTCCTCTCCCGTTCACTGTATACAGGACAGGAAGGTAATAGGAATCCTTCAAATGGGACATAGATGACAAAAAGAACCTGACAGGGGTATCATTTTATATTATATATGACACGACCACACCCATCTACAGTGAAACAATATCCCTTGCGCCGCTATGGTAAATCCTTCCACCCTGGAAGTTACAGATCAAATGTAGACAATATCGGTCACCATGAATGATGTGTTCAAAATACCCCAATGTCCAACTATATATATATTGAAAATCCTTCAGAATAAATCCATACACCCTAATAAAGTCTTCTTATAGTCCACCAGTCTTAGTGTTCCATCAATTCTCAATGTTCCTCAAACCAATACGTCCTCTTCAGCTCTTAGTACCTCAAAACAAATAAACTAAACATAGTGCATTATCCTTTAACGCCGATGATATTGGTGTGTGCAAATCAAAATAAGTGTCGCAGTGATTACATGTACATCTGGTGACTGGAGTTCCTGCCCTTACCCAAAATAAGTAAAAACTTGCTTGCATGTTCCACACTCCTCCATACTCTGTGAATATGTGCCACGCCACACATCAACTAGTGATCATACAGTGCAATCAATCGTGTGACTCCTGTCAATCTATATACCTTACCAAATGGACAGGTAGTGCAGGATTAACAAAACCAATAAATTCTCGTGCTCCAAGATCCTGCTGCCACTGCGAGGTCAGCTATCCTTCATATACTGTGAATCTGTGCCACGCCAAACATAAATAAGTGCTCAAACATCAATTTGTGGTCTGAATAGTATAACACCTGTCAACCATTTGAAAAAGTCGTGATGACGAAAAATGCGTCAAAAGTGATGTCAGATGTTATCGGAAGAATTGCGGCAGCCATCTTGGATGAGGGCCGGACTGCTAATAGGAGACAGTGAGCTAAAAGGCTAATTTTAATGCTGCATTTACTTTGCTATTTTGTAAGCGTTTTTAATAAAGATTTATACAAGTTTTAAGAAGGTTTTATACGATGATCTTGTATTTCCATTCTGGGCATTTACATCGCTGATTTCGGAGTACTGGTAGCAAGAGCCTGGAGCATGAACCCTGTCTGAGTTAAGCCTGCACTACCTGTCAATCTGGTAATGTATATAGGTTGACAGGTGTTATACTATTCAGACCACACATTGATGTTTGTCCACTTATTTATGTTTGGCGTGGCACGGATTCACAGTATATAAAGGATAGCTGACTTTGCAGTGGCAACAGGATCCCAATCTGTCCATTTGGTAAGGTATATAGATTGACAGGTGTCACACGATTGATTGCACTGTATGATCCCTAGTTGATGTGTGGCGTGGCACATATTCACAGAGTATGGAGTGTGGAACACACAAGCAAGTTTTTACTTATTTTGGGTAAGGGCAGGAACTCCAGTAACCGGATGTACATGTGATCACTGCAACACTTATTTTGATGTGCACGCACCAATATCATCTGCAATAAAGGATAATGCACTATGTTTAGTTTATTTGTTTTGAGGTACTGAGAGCTGAAGAGGACGTATTGGTTTGAGGAACATTGAGAATTGATGGAACACTAAGACTGGTGGACTATAAGAAGACTTTATTAGGGTGTATGGATTTATTCTGAAGGATTTTCAATATATATATATACATATATATATATATATATATATATAGTTGGACATTGGGATATTTTGAACTCATCCTTTATGGTTACCGATATTGTCTATATGTAATTTTATACTATCAATTTCACCTTCCAAAGGATTCTGAATTGCCTTTAGCCAGTCTTGATTAACTCTAGTCTTTCCCACTTTATTGCCAGGCAGCTGACACCAGCATTTTGTTGCTTCACGTGTTGTCACTACTTTAACACCATACTGCTAACTTGACAATCAATTTGCATCAACAAAATGATGTAAGTAGGCGACATGGAATCAACAACATAGTAGGAGATGATGGATTCATCTTCTTGACTTTGACAAAGAAGACAAAAAAAGAAAAAAATATCTGGAAGATAAAAGGTTCCCATACATGTATCTTTCCACACAGTTAAAACAAAGGGATTGTATTTTGCTTAGAAGTAAAAATCCATTCAAAACTGTAGTCATGAGAATCCTCAAGAGCTCCCCCACTTCTTTAGCTACATTCTTAGTAGTGAGAAATGTTATACTTTGGGGTCCATTATTGTGTTGCTATTCTGAATGGCTTCCCATCGCGTCCTTCCAACAAACATGAGTTAAACCTGGACTGAGGCAACACACTTACGCTCTTGCGATGCATGCACAAGATTTGGTCCATTGTTGTGTATTGGGCAGCCCATTCAAACAAACAGGCTGCCCAAATGCAACCCTAATAATATGTGTGCATTTAACACAGCAGACCAGACATAATGTGAATGGACGCTTACAAAGTAGAAAGAAGAGTAAAATCCACCAGGCAGGACTGGCATGGCTGGGGTCAGACCTGAAATCTAGGGTGCAGATAAATGTCCTGAAAAATTAAGAAGCATGTTGTGAACCCCTGTCATCAATCAAAACTAATTTAGTGTTTTTGCATGTACTGATGCTCGATTTTTATTCTAAGAATTTGTAATCTCACCTATAAGTTTTTTGCAAGCACTGTGAATCAAAGGCTGTTCTGGAAGATCAAGAGAATCATCCCAGGATGCTAGACTGTCTCCTTTTCCTGCCACGTTAAGTGCAATCTGTCAGAATAGAATATACATTAATTATACATTAATTCCAAATCAAATAATCATACTGACAACATCTAGAATACAATAATCAGCAATGTATCTGATGAACAACCTGTCTCAGCAGGAGAATCCCTGCATCATCATCGTTTGTGTTGATGCATGGATCTGACAGGTTATTTTTTCCCCTCAACCTGCAGGTTGAAGGAAAAGAATTGTATGTATGTATCCACCTTCAGAGACACCAGGATGAGATCTAGTGCACTCGATAATCAGCACTTCGTAAGAAAACTGGTCTGACACGAGCCCTCTGGCACCTTGCAATACGTTTGATTGAGGACACTTCCAGAGGGGTGCTGTTACTACACTGTGCCAGTATAGAGCGCTGCAGTGTGAGAGCAGAAATACCACGGAGAAAAATGTATTTTTATTGCATTCCCAGGAAAAAAAAAAAAAATCAGGCATAAATTCTCACATGCGGAAGTACACATATATAAAAAAAAATTTAAAAGGTGGTCTCCAACTTACAAGCTGACCTCAATGTACTGTTTAATTGGGTGACATGTGGCAAATGAGGTTTAATGTTGATAAATGTAAGGTTCTGCACTTGGGGGCTAAGAATATGCATGCATCATACATACTGGGGGGGGGTACAACTGGGGAAATCAATGGTGGAGAAGGATCTGGGAGTTCTGGTAGATCACAAGCTTAATAATGGCATGCAATGCCAAGCTGTGGTTTCTAAAGCAAGCAAAATCCTCTCTTGTATTAATAGAGGTATAGACTCCAGAGAGAGATATCATATTACCCCGGTACAAATCATTAGTAATACCTCATCTGGAATATGCAGTTCAATTTTGGGCACTAATTCGCAAAAACAACATTGGGGACCTGGAGAAAGTACAAAGAAGGGCAACCAAACTGATAAGAGGCATGGAGGAGATCAGCTATGAGGAAAGATTAGAGGAACTGAATTTGTTCTCTCATGAGAAGAGGAGATTAAGGGGGGATATGATCAACATGTATAAATACATCAGTGGTTCCTATAGTGAACTCGGTGTAGAGTTATTCACCCTGAGGTCATCACAGAGGACAAGGGGGCACTCTTTACATCTGGAAGAAAAGAAATGTAATCTCCAAATATGGAAAGGTTTCTTCACAGTGAGAGCTGTGAAAATGTGGAATAAACCCCCCTCCAGAGTTGGTTCTGGCCAGCTCAGTGGATTGCTTTAACTGCTTCAGCTCCACCCCATAGCAGAAATATTGCTACAGGTATATAATACGGAGGATCTCTGACCTGTGGGGGAGGGAAAGAACTTTTAGTAAACAAAACAATCCTCCTCCCTGTCAGCTCCTGCACACTGCTTTGTATGGCTCTGCATAGCCGCCATTGCTAGTAAAAATAAAAAAAAAAAAAAAAAAAACCACAGTATATATACACACCGCCATTTGTAAAAGCAATAACTTTCACGTAAACCAATTAATTTCCACGTATTGGGATTTTTTTTTCAGCAAAGATATGTAGCAGAATACATTTTGGCGTAAATTTATGAGATTTGATTTTTTTAATTTTTTTACTGGATATGTTTAATAGCAAAAAGTCCAAAATATTGTTTTAAAAAAACGCACAGGCGATCAAATACCACCGAAAGAAAGCTCAATTATTGGTGAAAAAAAGGACAAATTTAATTTGGGTGCAGCGTTGCGCAATTGTCAGTTAAAGTAATGCAGCGCCGTAATGCAAATAATGGCCTGGTGAGGAAGGGGGGTAAATCCTCTGGAGGGCAAGTGGTTAAAAAAGGCCTGGATTCTTTCTTGGATACACAGAATATAACTGTTTACTAACATTTATATGTAAAGTTGATCCAGGAAATATCCGATTGTCTCTCGGGGGATGAGGAAGGAATTTTTTCCCATGCAGGAGCAAATTGGATCATGCTTTGCTGGATTTTTTGCCTTCCTCTGGATCAACTGTGGGTATAGGTAGGATCATAACTGTTGTTTTTTCTTTTTTGTGGTTGAACTGGATGGACTTTTGTCTTTTTTCAGCCAGACTATGTAACTATGTGACAGATTGGGCTTTAGCTATTTGTCTACTAATGTGCAATTATAAAAACATTATGGTGGTGAATGGGTTAAAACAAGCTCATGGCTGCTGCTGATGCAGTCTTGTCCAGTCAGTTCACAGCTTTATATTAGACCCCTTTCACACAAAGAGTCCGATCAGGTCCACCTGTCCGACTTATGTCCGTTTACACCCGCCTACCTCCAATCTAATCCGGTCTGCTATGCAACAGAAACAAGATATACCAGTGCTCAAATCCCAATAACTTGTACATGCATTTATCTAGCAGGTCAGTAGCCAGACCTAAATCTAGTCGCTCTAACCCACTTTGTGTCTGTTTGCCCCAAGTTGGCATTGTGTCCACAGTAGCATTTGCGTTGGCAGAGCAGAGTAGGACTGGCCACAGAGGGATTACTTTGACCCAGCTGGCCAGATTAAACATGTATTGCAATATCTGTAAACTAAAAATCACTATTTTTTATTGCAACGTTTACTGGAAAGGGTAATTAGCAGTGTGCAGAGGGTTCCTCTGGGATTTGTGGTGTTAATATGTGGCTACACCCCATTTGAGCATAGGTACAGTCAGGTCCATAAATATTGGGACATCGACACAATTCTAACATTTTTGGCTCTATACACCACCACAATGGATTTGAAATGAAACGAACAAGATGTTCTTTAGCTGCAGACTGTCAGCGTTAATTTGAGGGTATTTACATCCAAATCAGGTGAACGGTGTAGGAATTACAACAATTTGCATAATTGGCTTCTCAGCTGCCATATGTGTGTTATCCCACTTGTTAAAGGACCAAAAGTAATGGGACAATTGGCTTCTCAGCTGTTCCATGGCCAGGTGTGTGTTATTCCCTCATTATTCCAATTACAATGAGCAGATAAAAGGTCCAGAGTTCATTTCAAGTGTGCTATTTGCATTTGGAATCTGTTGCTGTCAACTCTCAAGATGAGATCCAAAGAGCTGTCACTATCAGTGAAGCAAACCATCATTAGGCTGAAAAAACAAAACAAACCCATCAGAGAGATAGCAAAAACATTAGGCGTGGCCAAAACAACTGTTTGGAACATTCTTAAAAAGAAAGGAACGCACCGGTGAGCTCAACAACACCAAAAGACCCGGAAGACCACGGAAAACAACTGTGGTGGATGACCAAAGAATTCTTTCCCTGGTGAAGAAAACACCCTTCACAACAGTTGGCCAGATCAAGAACACTCTCCAGGAGGTAGGTGTATGTGTGTCAAAGTCAACAATCAAGAGAAGACTTCACCAGAGTGAATACAGAGGGTTCACCACAAGATGGAAACCATTGGTGAGCCTCAAAAACAGGAAGGCCAGATTAGAGTTTGCCAAACGACATCTAAAAAAGCCTTCACAGTTCTGGAACAACATCCTATGGACAGATGAGACCGAGATCAACTTGTACCAGAGTGATGGGAAGAGAAGAGTATGGAGAAGGAAAGGAACTGCTCATGATCCTAAGCATACCACCTCATCAGTGAAGCATGGTGGTGGTAGTGTCATGGCATGGGCATGTATGGCTGCCAATGGAACTGGTTCTCTTGTATTTATTGATGATGTGACTGCTGACAAAAGCAGCCGGATGAATTCTGAAGTGTTTCGGGCAATATTATCTGCTCATATTCAGCCAAATGCTTCAGAACTCATTGGACGCCGCTTCACAGTGCAGATGGACAATGACCCAAAGCATACTGCAAAAGCAACCATAGAGTTTTTTAAGGGAAAGAAGTGGAATGTTATGCAATGGCCAAGTCAATCACCTGACCTGAATCTGATTGAGCATGCATTTCACTTGCTGAAGACAAAACTGAAGGGAAAATGCCCCAAGAACAAGCAGGAACTGAAGACAGTTGCAGTAGAGGCCTGGCAGAGCATCACCAGGGATGAAACCCAGCATCTGGTGATGTCTGTGCGTTCCAGACTTCAGGCTGTAATTGACTGCAAAGGATTTGCAACCAAGTATTAAAAAGTGAAACTTTGATTTATGATTATTATTCTGTCCCATTACTTTTGGTCCCTTAACAAGTGGGAGGCACATATGCAAACTGTTGTAATTCCTACACCGTTCACCTGATTTGGTTGTAAATACCCTCAAATTAAAGCTGACAGTCTGCAGTTAAAGCACATCTTCTTCGTTTCATTTCAAATCCATTGTGGTGGTGTATAGAGCCAAAAATGTTAGAATTGTGTCGATGTCCCAATATTTATGGACCTGACTGTATATCTTGTTTCAGAGTAACTATAGAACACTGCTCTGGGACAAAGAAACTGCTATGAACCTGAGCAGTGTTGTGTTTCCTTAGGCCAGTGGTTCTCAACCTGTGGGTCGCGACCCCTTTGGGGGTCGAACGACCCTTTCACAGGGGTCACCTAAGACCATCAAACAACACATTTCCAATGTGTAAAGAGTAAATAATTTTATGGTTGGGGGTCACCACAACATGAGGAACAGTATTAAGGGGTCGCGGCATTAGGAAGGTTGAGAACCACTGCTTTAGGCCGTCTGTGAAACACATGCTATTTGGCTCTTTTGTCCCAGTTTCCTTGTACCTATCAGCCATTGCTAATGAGGTAGTCAGAGGTCAAAACCAGATGTTTTTTTTTTATTTGCATGTTCAGAAAAGAAGCTGGTGTAACCCAAGTGCTGACTGAGTTCCTGTGGCTGAATGTCTAGAAGCTGGCTTGAGGAATGCAGCAATGTACTGCACGTGTTCTTGGTGGAACGTGCGAGTAGAAAATGTGGGAATCGTAGCATAGTTACCTGTTCCTTCTAAGACTAAGTTTAGATAGGAGGGATAATCACAAATTTTAAAACTGCTCATCGAGAAGCGTTTGAGATAAAACGTTAGAGGTACCACAATAAAATGAAAAACACCCAAATACTCCATCCACTAAATTGCATAGTGTTGTTTA